AAGAACTTTAACTTCTATGGACCACAATTTTTCAGTACAACTGCCGCGTAAGTCCGCGGGATTGCTAAACCCTGTTCGTTTGTGCACCAAAGATAAAAGTGCTTGATCCCCCTCCAACTCTGAGCAGTGTGTTTAGTGATAAGAGCCAGATCATGCCCATAGCTGCGCTGCTCTGAGTCGTGGAGTTGAGCCATGTTGTTTTAACCAACTCTGATGACTCAAATGCTAAAAAATTAGACGCACATTGGGAGATGGAGTTAAAACTCCCACACCTCTCAGAAATTGTGTATTACATGAAATTCATATTGGGTAAAAGGTCTATTTTTAACTTTCATTCATCCTGGGAAGGTTTCCTGAGCATGACTGCCTGCTCGTGTCAGCATCTGCCCTGCTCCGCACTCACGCAGCTACACACATTTACACCTGGAAGCTACCGAGCACAAACAGAATCTGATCTGGTCACTGTGCAGCTCCATGAAAAAAAATGGAGGTTAACAGCCTAGCTCAATGGCATCTCAGTGGTGGCAACGAGCGAGAGCAAAGCAGCGCTCCATTACTTCTTTTCCAAGATTGAATCTGTTGTTAGGGATTGAATCACAGACCTCCCATTCAGAATTTACTTACTTTTAGGACAAAAATAAGTGTGAAAACAGTTTCATTTATATATTTATATATATATATATCTTCCAACGATATGTGCTGCGGGTCGTGTACAAAAAGTTCAAGATAATTCAGTTTCGGCAGCGGGCGGGCGTGTGCGTGAGGCGAGCACAATCCCGACTGTTTCTTGGGAACGCACCCACTTGTCACTACACCTTGTGCTTGACCACTTCACCTCACTCTATCAGGGACACTTGCTACTGAACATAGACTGTTTATGCTGCTCCCTGATAAAAGAAAAATGTTTCTGCTGATACCTGTTCATAAAAAAGAACCAAGAAAACTGGATTCTGATGGTAACTTGTTTTAACAAGCTAGATAAAAGATAATTCCCTGGCAGCGGCAAATAGCTTTGGTTTTATATTTGATTTGATTACATTAATGTTTAAGTTGAGATTTACAAGAAATATTTTATTGCTACTGTGTAAAGGGAATACTGCTGGTAAAAAAAGCACAATATTTGTTTAAACTGTTTGTAAACCACATGTTATTGCACTTTTGTGTATACAGCAGTACATTTAAATTAAAAGTGCGCAATACACTACTTTAGAATTAATTATTTAATTGTGCGAATAACAATGTGATTAATCACGATTAAAATTTTAATCGTTGCCCAGCACTAGATAGAGAGTTATTAATGAGTATGTGTATTTATGAGTATGTGTAATTCAGGTCTCTGATTTACCCTCTAGGGATGGCAGTGTCTGTCGGCTGGTCCACAGCTTTGGTCCAGACTGAAATATATCAACAACATTTGGATGGATTGCCATGAAATTTGGTTCAGACACAGAGGAGAAATGCTAATGACTTTGTTGATCCTCTGGCTTTTCCTCGAGCATCACCAGCATGTGAAAGTTTCCTTATAAGCAGTGAAATATATCAACATCAGCAAGATTAATTGGAACATTTTGTATAGATATTTATGGTTCCCAGATGATTCATTCATATGACTTGGTGGTGGTGACAGTTATTTGATGGATTGCCATTTAGTGCACACATGTCCCCCTCAGGATTCACTGTAATCATTCAGTAATCCATTAACATTTCATCTACCACCATAATCAGGTCAAAAATACTTTACCTGTAAAAATATATATTGCCTGTGTTTGTTTATCCATCGGTTAGCAGGTAATTCCTCACAAATCTAAGTCTTGTTAAAGAATAAAGAAGATATAAAGCTGATGATACACGGGGCAACTTTTTGAGCAATGTTGCTGGGCAATCTTGTTGGTGGCAAGTCTGACTATGTTTTGAACAGATAGTGGCGAGGCGGGGCGGGTGGCAGAGTGATGGGGGAAGGGAATTACGGTAGTAATCTTTACTCATTAACATTGACGGTAACATTGCCCAGCACCATTGCTCTAATGGTTGCTCTGTGTATCATCAGCTTAAGACTTTCTTCTTCAAAGAAAAAAAAAAGTTTATGTCATGTCCAGCTATTACTACTCACTCGGAGTGAGTTGTAATAGCTGGACGTGGACGTGAAGCAGGACCAATACCTGTCATAAAACAACTTCTGTGATAAAATGCAAATAAACTTCAGGTGTAAATGGATGCTTTTAACCATGTTACAATACCTACAGTAATGTACGATACAGAACGGAGACAGTGAGGCATCTGATTGCTGTTTATTGAGCAACACACTCATTTTCATTTTCAAATGTGTGATGGGTTAAAGTGCTTCGGAGTCATTTTCCAGATTTTCTCAATAACTGAGTTCTCATCTCAGCATATTATAACAAGATGCTGGTTGTTATTTTTGAGACATATATTTTAAGATGAATAAACCGGCCCTAGCCCCTGAATAATATAAGCTCATTCTTCCTGCTGTCAGCTTCAATTTGAATAATTTATATGCGGCAATAAATAGAGGCAGAATCTCTGGCACCAACTTGGAGAATTGGCACTGAAACGGGAAATTCCTCTCTCTCTTTTTTTTGTGCCCGTATCACAATGACTTTAATAAAATCAACAGCAGACATTTCCTCTTGTTAAGCTTGTCATCTTTCTTTGCTTTCTGATTCGAGGTCTCGTCCAATCACTCATCTCTCTGTCGGCAGGCTGCTTTCAGCTGCACTTGTCACACTATGATTTCTGGAACTGATAAGAGTTCTGATTGAACATTTGTTTGGCCTGTGCAGACACCACTGGAGAATGGCTTGTTGTTGTTCATTTTGTTTCTTTCTATGGTTAAACACCTTTCCCGGTCAGGCACTGTTGGCTCGAGTACAGGGCAGTGTCAAAATAAAACAGAGGCATGATAAATTAAGAATTCATAGTTATTTCTCATATATATTGCCAGTAAACTGATCACAAATCATTGTCCACTGACCTCATAACACTGAAATATGTTAGAAAACTGTAAAATGGCAGACTGTGGCGTAGACTGCTATAATCAATCATTTTATGAAATAAATTATTGTGCAACTTCTTAGTGGAAATGGATCGAATGCTACAAAGCCAGAGTTCAGACCTTGGGTGAGTCATAAAAGAGGGCTTTGATATATGATTCCAAAACTTTGTTGCACTTCCTGTATTGTATAAGAGTTGGCTCAAGCGTACTGTGGACAAATGTCCAATGGATCAAATTACTTTAGTTAACATTTTCAGCTTATTTATCCCCTGTTACACTGTTCCTTCCTTTATGAATTATTACATCCATAGTCATTAATATATTATTATTAAATATTCATACCTGTATTTAATACTGCTGCAACCTATATAAGGAAAATAAGATTTTTTAAGTTTGAGCAGAATTTGTGTATTTGTATTTGGTTTGAAGATGAAATCCTGAATTTGTCTTTGTGACTGCCTTGCTGTGTGTTATATAAGAGCGACTTCTGTTCTCCTTTTACTACAGTGTACCGTACAGTATGTGGGCTTAAGGTGGATGTATGCCCATCAGAATATTCAATAGATCATTTGCAAGAACAATGCTCCCAGCTGTCTTTGTTGTTTGATGTTGTTTGACATGGAGGCCTTTGGCAAAGGAAAAAAGTATTTCAGTTTGATCATGATTTGATCTAAACATATTAAACAATACACTGTTTTGTTCATAATTATTAACACTTTAATGTCTGAGTGATATGTCCATGGGGTGTGTTTGCACTGTCAAGAAAACAGGTTAACTTCAAATTCTTTTTTCAAATTATTCAAATAACTTTAAATTATTTGAATTACATTTTAGGGTTCAACAGCAAACCCCGTGGATTTCATATCATATTGTTATCTTTCATACAATACTTCACTACTGAAATGGACTGCACAACAAAATGAAGTCAGAGACATTCATTCCTCTGGGGGACTGGGGAAGTTATACTATATACAAGTTATGCTTGTTTGTTTGAATACTTTAATTAAGTTATCTGTGTGTGATGACTGCTTTTGCATGAATGAACTTCTTGTGATATTGTTTATACGTAATTTATTGTATTCTTAGGTCTATCTCATAAAACAGATCTTGATCTCAATTAGACGCCCTGAATAAATATAGTGAAACTAAGTAACACTATGACAGATGTAAAAACAACTTTAAAGAAACTCAAGACACATCAGTGGCAAACCTAACAAAACCAGTTTCAGTTTGCTTGTCTGATTCTTTGCTCCTGTGGCAGAAAAGATGAAAGGTTTAGGCGTGGACCTTTTGAAGATATACTCTCTATACCATCAGTAGCTGCTATAAACATAACTAATCTTTTGTTTCCTATATAATGGGAACTGTATGTTATGACATTAAATTACAGCATTTATTTGGCACTTTTTATTCAAAGAGACTTGCATACACACTTATAAGGAGCGATTTGGGGTTTAGTGAAGCCAGCTGATTCTCTCTAACTTTTGATTTTTTCATTGATGATCATTTAGATAATTTTTAGAAAGAGTGAGGTGAAGTGGCTCTGCTTTGTGGTTAGTTTAGATGCCAGTCTTCCAATAGATCTATGCACCAAACCTTAGGCATCCATATAGGCAGTAAAGTTGAACAAACCATAACCACAGACCATAAATAATTCCCTTTTTTGATTGTTTTCTGGTGTCTTAATGCATTTCAGAACTTTAGAACTTCAGAACTTTACTTATTATTTATTTTATCTCCAAAAAACAGATTTCTTTGCACAACAAACCTGAATCTTATGTGTGATTTTCCTTTTTTTTTTCAAATGTCTCCAAAAGGGTCAATATTTGTTGAATGACTCAACCCTTTACTGAACTACTGTCAATAACTGCATGTGAATTTTGCCACACAAGTGGAATATAATGTGCAGCATTGATTGATTGGTTGGACACACGTTTGTCCGAGCGCCGGCCTCTTGTAATTACATTGTTTTCATGCTGTTTTTCAGGGACTGTGTGTGCAGCCTAAATGACGAAGTGGAACTTGTTCAGGCATCAGACAACACCCATGGTCGCTGCTAAGCCAACGGGGGCCAGTGCCTTGACTGTGACTCCAGCCCCTGTCGCACTAGTCTCTGCTGAAAACTCCACCGAGCCAGTCAACAAGAATGATGCCTTCGACGAGATCAAAAACAAGTTCCTGAATGAAATCGACAAGATCCCACGTGAGTACCGGACAAAACTCAAACCTGTTCCAATCAACCAACTTGTACTGATGTGACTATAGGGAATGATTTTGGAATTAGATTTTCTCTTTTGCTTCAGGCATTGGCAGCCTCATAATGCCTTTATTCAGTATTGATCACCAGCTGCCCTTCCTAATGGCAGAGAAATCTAATTTTCACCCAATCTAATTGCTAACCTAACACCTCTCACTAAATATATTTGGCCCAGGACATGACATGGAGTAGGCTAAATGATTGGTTGGTCAAATGTCAAAGTATTTGCTTCTTTCTTCTCTTTCTGGGTGTGGATGTGCCATCTATACATTGGTCTGTATATTCTCCTCAGTGCCGTCCTGGGCCATCATTGCCATTGCCGTGGTCGCTGCTTTACTCATTCTAACATGCTGCTTCTGCATCATCAAGAAATGCTGTTGCAAGAAGAAGAAGAACAAGAAGGGCAAGAAGGGGAAGGGTGACATGGGAATGAAGAACCTGAAAGGGGGAGAGGTATGTTCCACCGCGGGAGGTTGCATCACGGCCGAGGGAATTTACACCTACACTGTATACGAGCCCAGACAAAACATCGCCAACTTAACCCTGTTTATGAGCCTATTATGTAACAGCTGTGTTTCTTACAGCATGGATTTGTGCTAGAATAGACACAAACATGCAGGTAGTGGTAAGAGTGACTCAGCTAATTATATAACAAACAATAATTTGGACCAGTATTCCTTGTGTTACACATTTTAGTCCAGCAACAAGTTTCCTGTTTGAAATGTATTAGATTACATATCATTGGTACAGGCTGTTTTGATGGCTTTCTAACCCAGTAAGTCTATTCTCCGCAGGTGTTAATTACATTCTTTATCCACCATGATTACTTTTTATAATTTTCTCCTTCTTTTTTGTTATTTAATGTATTTGTCATGAATGTTATTGTTGCTCTTTCTCTCACTTGTGCTCTGGGATTTGAGTGGAAAATGACAGGACTCTTATCTATTTAGCCTAACCATTGTTTTCCCAGTCTTTAAAGAGTAATTATGAAAATTAGTAGTTAGCACAATGCTGGTGTTTTTGGGCCAATAATTATTATTTTTTCACATGCATGATTGATGATTTGACAAAGTATAATAAGAATACATCTAAAAGTGGAGTTATTTTAAAACCCAATGGCCCTGCTGCACAAGATATGATGTGCTAATGAGGAGGCTTTTCTATCTGTCATTTTCCTCACTCCCTACAGTGTAGCTGACTGCATTTTCTGTGATTACCCTTCTTTGGTGTCTGCTATGAGTTCAATCTCTGCCTTTGTCTCTGCTCTCCTCCTTCCTGCTTTGTGTCTTATGTGTGCTCCGTGTATCTTGACTGTGGTGGACTTCTCTGCCTACGGTAGGTCTGACAGCACGCGGTGCCCCTCTCTGGCCGCTCTGTGTAAGCGCAGACCAGGGCCGGGGGGAAGCGGTGATGGGGTGGGCTGGGCTTGGAGGGGTTGGATTGCAGTGATGATGACAATAAGTGCTATGGCTTCCTTAGTTTTTTTGCAAGCTTAGGTGCTGCGGGTGCTTGAGGAATCTATGGGAGCGATTAAGCTGCTTCGCAAAATCCACTGAACTGATATGCCGCACCAACTGCTATGTCTTGACTATCCAGAGATTGCAATTTTTGAAAAAAAACAACAGAGCAAATAAGTGTCTATGGTTTGAAATGAACATGAAACTCATCCTAGGGTTGAGCCTTTGAATGACGAGTGCACTCAGCAACTCACTAGAGATCACTAACATGCATGTGCAAGGGGTAATCTGGATATTTGTCAAATAATAGCCGAACTGAGAGCTTTGAGCATGTTTCCACCATGACAGGCCTCGATTGTGCAACACAACCAAAATGGGATATCTTACAAAACAATTTCTCTCCAGAGATACATTGACTTGGGTCTGAAATTCACACGGTGTGCCCCACTTGTGCAAACACGCTCCGAGTTCCTCGACATATAAAGCTGTTTGGATCTCTTGACAAAGACCAGCATATGCCCTTGCAGTAGGTACCATTGAATGGCCACAACTTGACTTGAGAGTAACTTTTCCTGGATGACCCATGCTGCTGACATATTAGGTGACAGTCATTGACGCCCTCTCTCCCTGAAGCACTTGGGTCTCACTGAGGAGAAATGGTGGGCCAGAATGTTTGCCCAGGTTTGAGCTCAACTGCTGAGGCCTGATTTCAGTCGATGCAAAGTTAAAGCTGCAATCAGGTGGCTGTTTTAACACATATTTATTTTAATAAAACCCTTGTTATCTAGCTCGTAAATTACCCCACTGAGTTCACCGAAGGGCATACATTCAGACATACCATGTCTTTATCTTTGAACCCCCAATGGAAGTTTGATAAACTATAAATTCTCAATATAGCATGATCCCTCTATGGATGTGTACATTTCACTCAGGTCACGTGGACAGAAATTTTTGGGCCTGACAAAAATTTGTTACTTAGGTTTTTTTGTGTGTTTTTTTAAACATCAAAGCATAACTTTTATCTGTCTTCAGAAATTATAAGGTTACATTACATTTGCCATCAGAGAGAAACTTAGATCCTGCATTGTGTGGCCTGGCATGCTTGAATGAAAAGCATTTACCACAATAAAGATAGAGAATGCGACATATTAAGGATATTGTGTGAGAATGTATGCGTGTGAGAGAGAAAGTGAGTTCTTTAAGCATGCATGAGAGCCTGCATGTAAGCAAATGTATGTATGTATGTATGTGTGTGTGTGTGTGCGCGCACGTGCGTGTGTGTGTGTGTGTGTGTGTGTGTGCGTGTATGGCGGCATACAGGGCAGTATGGTGTGTTGTGGATGTGATAGTGTGCGTATTATCTGTGTGTGTGCCCTGTTCCTCTTCCAGCTCATCAGTGAGTAGCTGGGCCCTCCAGTCTTACGAAGACATTTTTTCAAGAAGACAGCCATAGGAAAGTAGGCCATACTGAGATATTTTCCAGCTTCATACAGTATCCAAAATGGAAGTTTATTTTAATATTTATATCAGAGCAAAACACTTGATTAGTCATGACCGCCTCTAAAGATATGAAAGACTGACGAGTCACTGGGTGTGATGTAAAGCCAAGATGGACGATAACGGAGGACTTATCTTCTTCATCAAGTCCTGATTATCTAAGGAGCTCTTTATTGTTTGTAAACTGCTGTCAGTAAACTGCTGAATTTTGTTCTAGCTTATGATCAATGGTCACAATAGTTCAGCTAGAAAATATGGACTCTCTTAAATAAATTGTGAAATATATCAGTAAATCATTTAGCAACATTAATCAGGCTAGAGTACAATTATAGCAGTCAAATCCTACCAGCAATACCAGTGTAAACACATTAATGAGACTATAGGATGTCAGGAGGAGATAAATGTCAAACAGTAATTGTCTGGCTTGAAGTAAACCTGTGTGTCAAACAGCTTACACTATCAGTTGGAGGATATTTGCCCGCGTCAGTGGTTTGATCAAATCACATCTATTCCTCATAGCTCTGTCCTTCAGTTCCTCTCAGAAAGGAGGATCTGTTCCTGTGACAGCTTGTATTTGAAGTACTGTACACAGGGTGGACAAAGTAACTAGAATACCTTGAACCATAGCGCAATGCAGTGCAACAGTTCTGTGGTAAATACTATTTTGGAGTGTGTCCTTTTGTGTCAAAATGACTGGACTGTGGTGTGTTTGAGCAAATATCCCGGAATATTCTCAGTCTGTTTACTTGTGACTTTGGGCTTATCTTTACTGATACACTTACTCTGTGTGTGTGGGATATGCCGTCATGATTTGTTCAGACTTTTTTAACAACTCACATGGGATTAGTCATATTTGGGATTTGTGAAGCTGCCTGTGTATCCGCAATGCAGTCCCTTGAAAGTCAAAGCCCCATTTTATGTCATGTTCCAGTTATTTTGCCCACCCCCTGTAATATCACAATTACAGGCAGATACACAAGTGAATCACATTGATTTGAAAAAAACAATTAGCAGTAATAAAGGTTTGGCAATCCTCATTTTTACTAGTGAAAAGTGAGAACTTCCTAAGGTTTCTTGATGGCTGTTGTGTTAAATTGCCCTATATTGTAAGGTTTTCCTGTTTTCCTGTTTATATTCTGTTGTTTCTCTCTTTTTCTCACTCCTTCTCTCTCTATCTGTCTCCACTTTTTGCATGATAACATAGAGTTCTATTCAAATGGCCTCTCTACAACATTTCATAGTCAAAGAGGAATTCCCTGTATCTGATTTTAGCAGATTTTAATGCTCATGAAAAAAACAGCAAATGGTGTCACCCAAGAAATAGTGAAATCAAGTCAGGTTGCAACTGTGGTCATCGATGAACAGATTGCACTAGTAACACCGCGCTGAGCGGGGGGTAAGTGGCAGGTAGGTGCTGTGACTGACCCAACTGCTGATGCCTGAGGTTTTGTGTTCAGCACAGCAGCCACCTCAGAGACATCCACTTACTCCTCCTCCTGCCGCCTGTTCCCCATCTGTCTCTGCAGAAACAACAGGATGATGATGATGAAGAAGATGATGTTGAACCTGGACTCACTGGAGATGAGAAAGAGGAAGAAGTGAAGGAGAAAGAAAAGCTCGGGAAGCTGCAGTACTCTATTGATTATGACTTCCAGGAGAACAAGGCAAGCACTTGAGTGGTTTATTTAACATTTTCTTGTCAAAATGCGGAGGCTTTCAGTACTTATGTAAACAACACACCCTGAATTTTCCTTTGTGTAATATTTCCTTTGGCCTGTTTTTTTTCTTGATTGATTATCACTGAAGAAAAGCAGGATCAAGGACATGGTGAAGGATTTCGGGGTGTGAGCTGGAGAAAATCTCATGGACTTTTAATCACATACTTCCTCCCTCCTACCTCCCCAGCTCACTGTGGGAATCCTGCAAGCAGCTGATCTCCTCTCCATGGACAGCGGTGGCACCTCTGATCCCTACGTCAAGGTCTTTGTGCTCCCTGACAAAAAGAAGAAGTTTGACACAAAGGTTCACAAGAAAACGCTCAATCCTGTGTTCAACGAGACCTTTATCTTCAAGGTAAGACGAAACACCTCGTGGTCACCCATTACTTATTAAAACAACATGAACATCAAGCTGTTTGATGGGTAGGAGGTCCTGGTAAAGGTGAAATTCTCCAGGCTAGTTCTGCTGAGGCTGCATGTTATTAAGTCAGGCAATTTTGAGCTCCAGGCCAAAGTCAAAACCCATACTGCTCAATACTTCTGATCTGACTTGCACTGTAAGTCTATGATTTGTCAAAAACCTCCCCAAAATAAAATAAATGAGTAACAAGAGATTGGTTTGTCTTCTAGATTCCATTCCAAGAGATGGGAGGGAAGACTCTGGTAATGTCAGTCTATGACTTTGATCGCTTCTCTAAACATGATGTCATTGGAGAGATTAAAATACCCATGAACACCCTTGACCTGGCAAAGCCAATTGAGGAGTGGAGAGACCTGGACAGCGCAGATCAAGAAGAGGTAGGACTCATGCGGCGTTATGTGTGTGAGTGTTATATTACTATTACAACAATTATGTTTGCATTGATGTTTGAGAGTTTGAGAATGTATTTAACATATTGTTTTCCATAAAAGCATAATATAAACAAACATTAAACATATATTTTTTTATTTAATTTTTATTTTTGTAATGACAATGTATTAAATGACGTGACGTGACATGATGAATGTGAAGGGGTCGCTCAGAGTGATGGACCTATTGTCATTATCTGAATCTGCAGCTCCCCTTGGTTTTATTGAGTTCTAGCTGTCTAGCCTGCAACGTTACTGTTTTGGTTCCCTCTCACCGCTCTCATAGCGGCATTTTCAACAGAAGCAGAAAAGCTTTAAAGACCCAGTGTACACTACCTGCTCAGCACCAAACAGCAGTCAGACACAGTTACTGTCTAGCTTCTGAACATAGTGAGGCATTTAGCAGCTAAGGAGCCAGATATTTCCCTCAGGAGATGGTAGAGACCAAGAACAAAGCTGAAAGAGTGTAAATATTGGATTTACATTTGTCAGGTGGGCAGAAACACGACTCCAAATGAATGAATAATGTTGCTCTGTATTTGCTGGATGTGTAAATATGCAAACCGGCTTTGCTAACAAGCTTGCCATATCAACTTAAAAGGTAATGGTATGTCAGTGTTGTGTTCAAAACTTGTGTCTGCCAAGTAGCCAATATTATTATTATTTCACAGGGTTAAATTTGGTTATCAATGAAATATGACCAAGATATGTACTGAGCACGACACTGTATAGTTCAACTGTATAGTAAAATCAACTTGTCAGTGCTCTCAACAAACTATATAATGGTGACACTACATTGCCTTGAGCACATCCCTGTTTTTGTTCTGCAATTTCCTGCTACCTATATTACTTATTAAATATATACTGATACTGTTAATAGACTAATGCTATTTATCAGTAAGGCTAAGTATGTTTTACCTTTACTACAGAAGTCTTCTAATTCTCACTGCAAACTGTAATCATAATGCAACCTGTGAAAGTTTTTAAAACATACTGAAATACATTTAATCAGACCTGAACCTGAACAGCTTACTCAGCTGATGACATAGTACAAAAATAACCATGAGCAAAAGATGGAAACTTTGTCTGTTTACCAATGAGATTCAGGGGTCTGAAGGACATCCTTTTTTGTTTTTCTAAGCAACTGCACTGCTTCCACTGTAGCCACGCAGCCTGTAATGTGGTGTTTTCATCATTATGCTGAACTAGAATAAGAAAAACAGGTTTTAATCAATGAAACCTCTCCTGAGCCATCTCAAGAAGAAATACTCACTCTACAGTTGCATGCGGCCTCAGATATTTAATTAACTTTGAAAAGACCAACTAGATGTACTTCTGAATACCGGTAATTCCTGCTGCTAAGACAAACATAATGGCAGCAATAATAATTTGTATTGACGGTTTATATTTAAAATGTTATTCCAAGGGACAGTTTGTATATTTATGTAGTGTACAGCACAACAAAGGAAAGATGTAAGTTCTGCGTCAGACCTCCTTTAACTTTCTCTCCCCGTCCCACCTCCTCACAGCCGGAAAAGCTGGGTGACATTTGCATCTCTCTGCGTTACGTCCCTACTGCTGGCAAACTTACCATCTGTATCCTGGAGGCCAAGAACCTGAAGAAAATGGACGTGGGTGGACTGTCAGGTATATACACAGTACTGAGCATCACATATTGTATTTCATAACCACCATATCACACTTGGCCTTATTTCAACTTTCACAATTTGACAAAAATTGATCAGTTAATGAAATTTGAAATGCTGGCAGTGGGACTGCAGTGTATAAAGGACTATGCCTGTGAGCACAGCCATTAGGTCGGTCCTGCTGTGCTCACGTGCTGACGCTGCAGTACTTACCATGCACCAGCTCTATCTCCCCCCTGGCTTCAGCATTGGCCCCATCTGTTGGTGCATTACAACATTGCAACCTAAACATGCATGTGCAAGCCATTTCTATCAGATTTATCATGATTTTGCATTCTTTTTTTTTTCAGATCCCTACGTAAAAATTAACCTGCTGCAGAATGGAAAGAGGCTGAAGAAGAAGAAGACTACGGTGAAGAAGAATACTTTGAATCCGTACTACAACGAGTCCTTCAGCTTTGAGATTCCTCTTGAGCAAATGCAGGTAAGGACACAGACTCACGAGTTAAACTCCTTTAAGATATATCAGGGGTGGAAAGAGTACCACCGTATCCTACAGAAATAAAGGCACTAGTGTTTAAAAGTACTGTATCCAAGTAGAAATACTATATTACATTATAAATTAGAAAAGAAGAAGAAGTTAAATGCACTTAGGAGTTTTGCTGCTATAGCCTTATTTGGTCTGGTATGACTAGGAGCTTATGGTGGCTAATGTCAGCCAACTTTAGATAGCTATTATTGAGACAGTTTGCTGACTTCATGAGTCTTCTCTACTTGTGCTATTGTCACTATATTTTAGCTTTTCAAGGCTGAGCTTATACGTCTATTTCTTGATACGTCGATACCACTCTCCTATCTGTCTAGTAAAGTATTGCCATCGCCCTTACGTTACCAGGCATCTCGCAGAGACGCCAGGAAGTCACTGCTATTGCCCAACAAATAATCTAGCCCATAACATTATGTTGACCACAACTTGCTGTTTTTATGCTGAATTGTTTTTACAGATTAACCAAACAAGATTTGTTGATAAGTGAGCTTTAAGGTGTTGGTTAACTGGCTGCTGACTAGCCTCATATTTAATGCACAGTGAGTGGTACTGATCTTCTAATATTATTCTCTGAGAAAGAAATCACAACTTACTGCTCACTGAGAGTTCCATGTAGGACATACTGTGTGGGAGTATGTTGAAATACTTACAAAACCAGCACAAATTCCATCTTTGTACTGCAAAAAAGGCCAAAAGAATTGTCAATAAGACTGATTATAATGACCCAACCAACCCATTTTTTACAAATTCGTATGCTTTACAGTTTATGGGCCAAGTAGTCTTTAAATTTCAACAAATAATGTATAGAGCAAGAGACAGAACACTTCCTGACGGTTGTTCTCAATGAGAGATAGCAGGAATCCATTAAGGGGAAATTATATGTTTAAAAAAAGAGGACAAATTTGAAAAGCAGATGTGTGACAAACAATGTGTTGAAAAACATTATATTTGAAAGATACAGTGTGACCAACACTGAGAAATGACTGACCTGTCTACGTTTGTTTATCTGTTTCTGTTTTATGCTGTTGTCCAAGCAGTGAAGCTTGCTGTTGATTGTTGAAGCACTTACACAACTGTATGGTCATTTTCTTGTTATTGTGTGTAATTGACCGGAAAAAAAATAAAACTAAACTAAAACTAAAAGCATTATCCAATAATTGACAACTAGGGCCACAGTGGCCACTGTTCATGGCCATGCATATGGTAGATGGAAGATTTTGGAATGTACTCCACCTTTCACATCCACGTAATCATCATGGCATTCTGAACGTTGCTGTAATGCTTTCTCTCCATTCCCCCAGAAAATCCTAGCTGTGATCACAGTGCTGGATTATGACAAGATTGGCAAGAACGATGCCATTGGAAAGATACTGGTTGGGAGCAAGACCACAGGGGCCGGGCTGAAACACTGGTCCGACATGCTGGCCAACCCCCGTCGCCCCATCGCCCAGTGGCATCCACTGCAGCCAGAGGAGGAGGTGGATGCTGCTCTCGCAGCCCTAAATGCCAAGAAGTAAACTCCCACCAGAACACATCGTCCCCACCTCCACCTACCTACCCATGCATTTCCCACCATTCTCCCCAGGTCCCACATATCTGTGTATATTCCAGAGGAACACCCTAACTGTACATCTGCTCCCTCCACCCCCACCTCCTCTCCCTCCGCCACCTTTCAAAAGATCCATAGATACCATTCAACATGATGGGAAATATAGTTTAAAAAAAAGCATCATGTTATATGAATTCATGTCATTGAAAAAAGAAGATAACTTACAGGATGGACAGATACTCCGTTGATTTCATTTAGATCTATTTTTGTATTGGGGTTGTGGTTCCATTAATAAGAATACAGAGTAGACTATGAAGAACAGTAAGAGTGCTAAATGGGAATATGGTGATAGAGGGGATAAAACATACATTCACTCATATTGTACTTCTCACCCCTCCCCTTTAGTGACACAGTTTGCTTAGAATAGTGCTTAATAATAAAATGCTTTATACTGCCATATGATAGAGAAATAACACAAGCAGGTCCATTCCTTAGGTGTATTGTGCACCATGTTCCACACCTGCCAGTTATCATACTAGATGATTCTCTTAGTTTGAAGTACATTCCTAGAGTTGGGTAGCAAGTAGGGATAGGCACATATCCAGATACCCACAGACACACTGCCTTTTTGATTAGTTAACCTTCCACCCATCGTCTCAGGAAAACTGAGAGGAAACTGAAACTTCATGCCTTTTTTTCTAAACGGGTTGTTATTATTCAAATACTCCACTTGATGAGAAAGAAATGTTGGATTTTAAAGCTTGTTTTTTTTCCCAGCGACGTAAGGCTCACGGCTAGTGTTAGTTTCTCCATGAAATGGTGTGTCAGGAAACAGGGAGTGATGTATTTTCAGTAAAAAAAAAGGGTATTTGTGTGTTTTTTGACTGTGCAAAAAGGCTGCGTCTGTCATCTGTACAACAATAAAATGTGTGGAAATATCCGATACAGGTACAACAGAGACTGATTCCAACTACCAATGACATGATATTTACAAGGTGTCGATTACTGCCTGCAGTCTACCACCTCCCCTCCCAACGCCTCTGATTCTGTATCTCACTTGTTCAGTGCTACTGCCATTAGTCATGGACTTGACACAAGGGTTTTACTTCAAAGGAATCCCTATAACCGTCTTACAGTCATAAAGGAGACAAGCCTTCAAAGTAACAAAATAAGCAATTTTCAACTACCAGGGACGCCTTCCAGTTAGCGGTGTTGTTCTCTTCATTTCTTTCTGTCTTATTATTTTTCTATCTCTTTTTCCTTTTATGTAGACAGTTATATTTTTATTTGATTCAAACACTTTCATTCCTCAAGCACTTTAAATCCAAATGTTACTTTTAAGTACCCTCAGAAACCAGAGCTTTAATTATTTATGTTAGGAATAACTGCTGGTTAAAAAAAAAACAAAAATGAGCAAAGGAGTGCATTGTGTAAGCAGTTTTTTTTTGTTTGTCTGTTGTTTTGTGTTTTTTAATTTCGTCTCAGCTTTTTGTGTATGTGTTTTGATTGTTTGAATATTACGTTTCTCACTTGATTACAAGGATATGGTCTGGAAGAAGGCACTGATCCATGTGTATTTTATACACAGCTTACCAAACTGTTGAATTTAATTGCACTACTGGGTATCCATTCTGTGGTAATTTGACACTGTTCTTGATCTGTGTAGTTTTTGTTTTTTTTATTGATAAAATGTTGTGAGATTGAAATTTTCTGTGGCATTTGTGGCATGCCAGACATGTCTCCTCATATAAATGAACTCTGATAAGAAAAGAGACACATTTCAATCTAATGCTGATCCCTAGCACCTTCACAGGATGTAATTGGTTCAGTGTATTTGTAAATTAATATTCTGTTGAAGGGAAATTTTGAGGAGGAACTTTGTTTTGTGACAAAATCCAAACTTTTCTGACCAAAACTTATCAGTCCTGAATAAACAGGTGAAGGTTTAATTGTTAATGAAAATCCTGATATGCTTTTGCCCCAGTGTACCTGCTTGTAGGTCTAGTTAATAATTAAAATCAGTGCTGTATGTGAACACCAACAGCAAAAACTACCCGTTGACTGTGTGCAAGAAAATGCTACGTCATTGTAAATCTCGTACTGCAACTTTATTTGGAATTTAATGAATGTTGGCTCTTGTATCTTTCTCTGTTGGAAATTGTAACTCCTAATTTTTTTTACAACCAACATAGACCATGTTCAGATTTGTGTTTTTCCATCTCACATAATATTTTTCTTCTGTTAATGAAGCAGCACTAAAGAAAAGGCAACATGGAAGCAATCAAGCAACCCATTGGTGTGTAGTTTTTGCCTATATACATAGTTCATACACGTTGATACTGCATGTTTATACAAAATACTGTACATAAGAGCATGTTTTAAAGACGAAGCAAAAATATCTCGTGTACGTAAATGGGTGTCATTTGTCATTTTAATAACACAACGAAGGGGAAAAAAGATGCACTGTATATTTTCTAAATGAAACAAATCTGTATTTATTTTCCATGAGGGTCACTGGAGAGAATGTCATACAAATATTAGAGTACTATTACTAATAAGAACCTTTCCACGCCTGAAATTCTTAAGCAAGTGTGTCGTCCAGTACTGTGTGTAAGTTCATGTGGGATGAAAATGTAGTCGCATGCTCGCTATCTAATTCCTTGTAGTCCAGATTTTTATTTGTTATCATTTATCTGCCATCCATTTTGTTTCAGCACTTATCTGAAGGCCAGTGTTTGTTATTTCTGAATTTTAATGCTATTGCTTTTTGGGGAAAAAAATGGTTTTGAATTTTTAATGTTTGAGATGGGCAGGGGGGTCTCCAAGTCTATAAGATGACTGTTTTCTAGTAACAGATTTGGCACAGTGTTATTCTGAAATAACTCATTAGAAGACGATTGAATAATTCTGTGATTTGTAGGTGGATTGTAGGAGTTGTTTTTTGTGCCAGTACTGACCCAGAATGAAGTCTGTTGGATCATATCTTTGTATAAAAGGCATTTCCAGTGGCCAAAAGATGAATAATCCCATTCCAGTGAACAAAGACTTGGAATCCCTTCTTCTTTCTTTAGTTACCTGGAAGTTTTTATTTTTCACTTCTATTTAAATAACCTGAAACCCTTCACAACCGTGTCTCTTTTACTGTGTTTATTATACAATAGGTGTATGTGTATACAAGATAAATGAATAAGATAAAACTAAAGCCATAAAACTCAAGCACTAACTCTTCAGAGCTCAGCTGAGTAGCTAGAGTTTATTTATGAAGAAAAAAACATCAGACATGTCTTCTTTTTCCTTGGCCAGTGTTTCTCTTTTACATTCCGTTCAGAGGTCTTTGTTCATCAAGAGGGCAAAATACATTTTATTGTATATGTGAGCATTGAGAACAGTTGTGAGTTTAGTCGAGTGAATGTGTCTTTTTCTACTTTCAGAGCCGTTGCTGTCCTTGTTTCATAGAGGTAGCTGATTTTACAGTATTGTGATTAGTAATGTATATGCCTTGTTTTGATAGTATAAATAGATATAATATCACAATAGGTTCTCAGTAATACTACTAAAATGATATATATATGAGAGTGTGTTCTATTCTTGGGCTGAGTGCAATTTACGAACCAAACCGGGTCACTCTTTGAGTTTCTCTTCTTCCAGTTTAGCAGCAGAATGTACTAGTGACTACATGTACAATCAATAACCCACTGCTGGTGACCTAGAGCTCACGCTGATGGTTTTTCTTGGTTCTTTTAGAATATTCAAGCAACAAAACAATATAGTTAGAGATCCAGCCATATTAAAGGAAAAAAGAGAAAAGCTTAATACAGTGGTGAGTTTTTGGCCTGAATCCCTCCCATAGAACTATGCATAGAGTTATGAAGCTGGAGCCAGGAGACAGTTAGCATAGCTTAACATAAAGACTGGAAACAGTGGGAAACAGCTAGCCTGGCTCTTTCCAAAGGTAAAAAATTCCACCTACCTGCACCTCTAAAGCTCAAACCAGTTTGTGTACAGATTGAATAAATGTGAAATAATATGTTAATGAGTGAGCTTTAGAGGTTTTTTTGCCAGACTAGCTATGTCCTCCTGTTTCCAGTCTTAGTGCTAAACTAAGCTAACTGTCTACTGGCTCCAGCTTCATACTTAGAAGGACAGAGAAGAGTGGTGTCAATCTTCTCATCTAACTCTTGGCAAGAAGGCGAATATTTCCCTAACTCCCCAAATGTTGAACTATTCCCTTAAGTTTACCTCAGTCGCTGAATTTTCTCTGAAGTAAATGTTAAACTGCCATCTATCTATCCTGGCAACAAACTTCAGTGTGTCGTGTGACACCGCACGTTGTCTAATGCAATAGTATGTTTATTCATTGTCCCATTAATGCTACCGACTGTGACCAAATGATGCACTGAGAATAATTTCAAATACAAGGTTTCTGTGCATTTCAAAAATACTGCCAGTACCTGATCACAGTTGCCTGCATTCGTCAACACTGTTTGAATCTACAAAGCCAAAATGACAATTCACACAGAGGCAGACAGAACACATCAGATGATGAGGCAAATGTGATTACAGGTACATTTATAGCACACTTAAGAGATTTATTTATTTAATACCTTTTACTGCTTGGGCCAACACAGTCACATGACCACCGGACATTTAAGTTCTATGGGGGACAGAGACTGGGAGCTGTGTGTGCTTGTGTATGTGGGATATATAGATGAAGTGTAGGCCCTTTAGCATACATGCTGCAAAAACACAGCACTAGACTAGAAAATATAAATACAATATACAGTACAGGTCTGCATGCGTGGGACACATTACTCATTCTTAAATGTACATCTTTGTGTGTATGACCGTAATACTCAAACAATCTTAGTTCTATTTTAAATATGGGGGTTATTCTGTTCTGTTGATAGCTGTGTAGATGTACAATACCTTATGCACAACTGCATCTGAAACTAAGTGCTGTTTCAGCTGTGCAGAGACAGTTTTAGAGCACCGTTCACACCTACCGGTAGTTGTGTTTTGTTCTTTTGTTCTTTTTTTTTTTTTTTTGGAACAAACGCTGGGATTTAAAAAGGGAAACCATCCAAAGTTCAATAGATCATTTACCACCTTGTCAAAATGCGTTGAGAACCCTCTCAACGGGTAAAGACACCACTTTGAAACATGTTGTCTTGTCTCCTCTATTACACGTTGTATTTCTTCTTTGTATTCTTGTGCATATGTGTATCACTCCTTCTGTCTTTTTTGTTTTTGTGATGTATACTTCTAATGTATAATGTAGGACTGTATTTGATGCCAGAATCATGTTTGCGTTTTTGTTTGTGTCTTTGTCCTGTTTATGTGTAACCAGCTATGTACCATCAGTATCATTATGCTGAGGAAGCAGGCTCATTGATTTCTTCACTGAATCTGCTTTTGCAGAGCGAAAAGAATGCCGGCCTTCATGTTTACAACATGGACATACTGTATACTGCCAAACATGCAGGACCGTACCAAACTCCCCTCTTGAGCGCTTAGTCCTCCACCTCTCATCCCTGATGCAACTGTATACTCAAGACTCTATTCTTCTTCTTTTTTCACCTCTTTCTCTTCTTCATCATCTTTTAAAGCGTTGGAGGACGGTCAGGATGTGTCCTCTAGCTGTGTTTCTTCGTGTCTAGTGTCGTGGTGCGCGTGTTCATGTCAGTACTTGTGCCTACTGTGGATCGCATGCTTTAGCCCTTGACTGGACACAAACGTTGCTCACAAACTCCTCTTGACCCTTGTGTGGACAAACGTTGGGGATCCTTATAAAGTTATCAAGGGAACCAAATAACTTATTACAAATTTATCATATGTGTTACCAGTTCTGTAAAAAAACTAATAGGAAATAAAGGCCTTTTAATTACCATGACTTGTTTGTGTTTAATATCCAGTGTGTTCAGCTCAGTTGGCTCCTAATAATCTTTCTGCATCTGATGCATAACACATTAATGTCACGCTGAGAAACATTTTCATTCCTTTACAGTTTATTAAGCAAAGTGAGTAAACCGATGTGTGTATATTAAGCTATCCTCAACACAATTTCAAACTTTTTAATACAAAATACAACATAGTTCAATATACCGACAGCTCATGTAGAAATGTCTGACACGTACTGTATCTTTTTTGTAGTTTTGAGTAAATCACTTTATTGGTTATTAGTGACCAAAGACAACACTGGTGTTACAGCATGCTGCCCTGGTTGGACTCTAAAACTATCACAGTGTTGAAGGAATACATCAAACAATGGGGACATTGGTCAACTCACCCACTAAATGAAGAGAAGACGGATACCAAAATCATTCATGTTTCTGGTGCACCATTCATCACTTCAAACAATTCTACAATTTTAATGCAAATGTAGGTCTGGCAGTTTCATTCATTAAAAATACTGATATACATAAATAACACACTGTTTTGAACTAGGGATGACTTTATCTCCCTTCCCTCTTTGTGTAATACAGTGAAGGTGGCACTCCATGAACTCCATGAAGAACCACTGCAAGGCAGCAGGTGTCATGGTTTTATTTTGATTACTCATGTTAAGTTGACTAAGATTCCTCATTTTCAAACATTGTATGGACCCCAAATATTAAGTAACAATTACAATATAATGCAGAACAAAGCAGTAGCACCAATAGATATGGCCTCCAAAATCACCAGAACAAAAGCTGATAAGCTTCATAGAGTTAGTAATTTTTTGCAGGGCTGTAGTGTTGGATTGCAGTAGATGTAGCCAGGTATACCTAATAATCTGGCTCAGTGAACTTAAGTAATAATTAATTTAACTTAATTGTGACAATATCATTTGCACTACACGGTCAAGTTAAAATATATGTAATCTACATCATATATAGTGAAAAGTGCAGATTATTCCTCAAAACTTTGGATTGTTCTTAATATTTAAGCCCACGCAATATTGTGGAGGCTAAAATGTCAGCAGTGATTTAAAGCGCGTCTACCAGTGGATGATTTTGGCATTTGTGTTTTCATCACCCAACAGAAAGATGGTCAAGAGGTCAGCCAAAAATAATCAGCGTATTCCTTTCAGAGAAAATAGAGTATAAGATTAAAACTAAGAAATCCATAAATAAATAAATATATCTCTATTACAAAACATAACATAGGACACTTTCTCTCACACACACACACACTCAGAGTGTCTCCTCTGCATAGCCATTCTGCGGTTTTGAAGCTGATCCATAAAAAAAAATCATCAATGAAGGACACGCAAAACCAAAACTGAAGAATGGCTACTGAAACCACACAAAGAACTAATGAACACAATCTTGCAAACACTAAATTACATTATGTGCTGTTAGTGATGCCCAAGTGATCAAAGATCAGCACTGTACACTCTGTACAAAGTGCATTTACTCAATACTCTGCATTTCATGGGTAACATAAAGTCCTCTTCAAATACCAAATACCGTGGGGACATTATCATATGTTTTGTCAAATAAAAATTGTGTTTTGAAAATGATAGAGAAAACTGTCTCCAAAAACGTTTCTAACCAGTTAGAAATGGGTTTGCAGGTTTGCTGTTGTAATGCACGGCCCTGTTACTGATAAAGGAAGTTTTGTGTTAAGAGTTTACAGAACTTTGCGTTAAAAGAGGCACTGACGGGGGTGTGCAGGCACAGCTGAGTGACAAACCTGAGAAAGTTATCAAGGCAAACACAACCCAAAACATTAGTCTTATTATTAACCCTAAGCCTTAATATCATTAACATGGAAAATCTAAATTATTTGTGTTTTTCAGATTCCTAACATCTTCTATACAAATGTATGAGAGAAGCCAGAGATTTTCTCCTTCATTTCAATACATTCTTAGTCTGGAGCAAACATCTAGTTGCCATTAGAAGAGCAATGGTTGTGTTAAAATCTATTTTTTGGGTCTCGAATCAGGGATTATTTTACCTGTATAGTCATGTATTCTGATTGAAATTACAAAGATTTTTCAAATGTATCAGAAAAATGACATAATTCAATTACATAACAATTCAATTACACTCTTCTTTCAACAAAATTAATATACTTTCCTGCAGTGCACAATGCAGCAACAAACGTGATGTCTCAGTGTGATATGTGGGTATAATATTAGAAACAGTACCTTCAGGTTAGTCAAACAGTACAACTGGTCCCTTGTTGGTTAATTTGAAATACAGGATTATCAAAATAAAAACTAATCAGGTAGAAACAACTGTTGTAACTCACACACAGTGAAATTTGACTAAAATTTCTTAGCACTTCTCTTTGGATCCTCACAAGTCCCAAAAGGAATTTATTTCTGCAAAGCAGCCAAAACCGGCCACCACCATAACTCAGAGAGGAGTCACAACTTGGGACATCGTGTATGATTAATCTGCCATATCAGAGTTGGAGAGTCCGCAAACACAGGAGCTTCAGACATATTTTCATTTGGACAGTTTGCTGATGACTCGAATGAGAGCGCCATTCTCATCCTTTAGCCTCTGGTTGTCTGACTTGAGCTCTGTTAAGATCTGGGACAGCAGAGTGAAAGAAATTATATTAGAATATTATATTATCATCAAACTTGCACACTCATTGAAATATATAGTAAATATTTTGTGGATGCTGTGAAACTTCAGGTGGTACAATGACTATCCACTGTAAATCTTCAATCACCACTAACAACAAGTGGACTAAAAGTTGTCTTTCAGTAAATTTTGAGGCCAAGCAATGAGGACATGCTTCACAGTACTTGATCATGCAAGTGGGGAGTGACTTTGACAATGTGCTCTGCATGTGAAAACTGAAAGAGACTAAAGTCAGAGAGAGAGAGAAACTGAGAGAGGGTCAATTTCCCAAATCTAGGTCATGTCTCTCATGAGGAGCAATGACTAAAAATAACCACCCTCTTTGCCAAAGTATTTCCCCTCTACTAGAGACAAACAATAACCCTCTGCTCTAGCTGTGACATATTACCCACAACTGAACAAGGGCACCTGGTCCTAACACGTTCATAACATGTGACAAGTCATATGTTTGGAGCTCCTTTTCTATTTTATTTCTTTTCTATTTAGTATACTGAATAATAATCTGAACTTCTATGGTAATGCCCTGCTCTCAATGCAACTAAAGGAGAAGATCAACATTTTGGGAAATACGCTTATATTTCTCCTTGCTGAGAGTTAGATGGGAAGATTGATAGTCGCTAAACATGAAGTTTATCTTAGCGCAAAGATAGGAAACAGAGTTGAAACAGCTAGCCCGGCTCTATCCAAAAGTAGCACATACTGCCTACCAGCACCTCTAAAGCTCACAAATGGACATGTTATAACTTGTTGGTTTAATTCAAACAAAAACCAAAGCAAAAAAACAGTTATTCAACAGTTTACTAAGGCCTGGCTGAGCGCAGTGACCACCAGTGATCACTGTGATGTTGCCTTTTCTTTTGTTTTTGTTTATTTTGTTAATTAAACGAGGCTTTAGAGGCATGGTTTCTCCCTTTTTCCAATGCCTTTATACCAATACTAAGCTAAATGTTTCCTGACCATAGGTTCATATTTAGCATTCAGACGTGAGGGCGGTATTGATCTTCTCATCTAACCCTCGAAAAAGAGGGAAATAAGCTTATTTCCAAAAAATCTAACTATACCTTTAAAGTAACACATTAATCTGTTTTTTCCCCTGACAGATCCAAAACGCAGAATCTGTCACATATCAGTGCCTGTGTCTCACCCAGCGGCAAAGGACCTGTACATTTTGAAGGCTAATGATCTCACACGTTTCATTTCCTTTGAAAGACTGACTAGAATGGCTATTTCCTTGGCAAACAACTTTGCATTGATAACACAGCACATTACACAGGACCCACACATATTTGACTGTTGCAGGATCAATAACCACTATAAACGCGTTTATTCTTTATGGTGCAGAGTGCTAGTGTAGATGTTAAATTTCGATGATAAACATAGAAGACAACCCCTAATGCAGTGCTCATGTCATGAAGCCCCATGCAGCATGAATGTAGCTAAAAATACACTTGAAAGGAGGCCTATGAAAAATGTTTTGAGGGGGAGGGGTCAGCAGTGTTGCCTTCTGCAGGCCATAAAGGAGACTGGGTTAAAAGAGTGCAGAGAGAGATGCATTGCAGTGTGGGGGGAGTGAGCATCGGGAGGGTGCAGGACCTGCCTGAGAGGAACACAGCAGAGGACGAGGGGGCTGTAGAGGCACCAGAAGGAGAGAGGAGTGTGGAAGTTATGTGGCTGAGAAGGGGAGAGGAGGGGGAGAAAGGAGGACAGATGATGTCAGAGGATCAGAGGTCCTCTGTCTCCGGCATGGATGCCGTCTCAGAGAGGCGGGCGAGGACGCGCAGCATGGCTCTATTCTCAGCCAGGAGACACTCGTTCATCCTCCGCAAGTTCTGGACCTGAGCCAGAGCAGGGAAAGCCTGCACAGAGGAGGAGAAAGATATAGAGAGGGGAAGGCAGAGAAAGCATGCAGGGAGGCAGGCCATGTGCAAAGAGAAAGTCGCATACAGAGACTGTATACATATCCACTCATACAGGCATGGGCCCACACACAAACTTATATAAACAAATATTTACACAACAGGGAGATGTTTAGAAGAAATAGCAAAAGCTGCGACAAGCAAAGGAAATTATGAAGTCAGTTCTCCTTGGGTTTGTGCATTTCAAACCTGGGCCATATGTGGAGAGTGGTGAGGTGCTGAAGTGTTATTATATGCATAGCTTTGCAAAGGAGAGGGAATTCAAATTCATGAATTTAAATAACCTAAAATTCTACTATTTCACACTTTGCACAAGAGCCTAGGCAGTTATAAGCCAAAGGAAAAGAAACTATTCATTTCCCCCCTTCTTGGCCTGACTTTTTGAGGTAAACCTCAGTGTGGTTTCACAGAAACGTCTGTGGTTTGACGCAATTCCTGATGGTAAACCACTGAAAACACACACACACACATACACACACACACACACACACGTAAAGTTTCAGGCTATCCAAACACAACACAAGGAGGACATCCAGCTGCTTCTTACAACACTGAAACACATTTATTAAAGCAGTTTGAAGTTAGCTTGTGTTGGGGACCTCACAGTTCATGCATATAATGTTCTCTTGGTGTAATAATAAAACAGTTCAGTTTTTGGAGAGGTGCCCTTGGCAAGAGGGAAGAGAAGGACAAAGTGAGGCGAGAATGCATAATGATATTCTTTATTACACTCGCTTAACATTGAGCTCTTTGATATTAAATTAGATCTGACCACACTCACGTCCTGCAGATAATTCTACACACTTGCTATTAATTAAGTTTCAGAGGCTGTCAAGAATAATTCCACTTTTCTGTAAGAAATGTAAGACTCTGCAGATTAATCTGACGCTATCACATCATTTCAAAAGGTAAAACATTGACACACAGTGCTATTGGTGTGAAACACCTGAGACCAGGTTCAGTCAAGTACAGAGCAGCAGTGCCAGCAGTGTCAGATCTGAAGAAGTAGCCTCAGTCCCCTCAACTGGAGATGAAGCCGTGCTTATATGCACTATCTACAGGCGAGGAGTGCAGGAGGAGTAGACACATGAGGAGAGAGTACAGCTTTTGCAATTTTGTTGCTTCAGTCACCTGCAGTGTCACGACTGTAGTTTTTTTTATAGATATACAAACAAGACCGCAGCAGCAGTTGTAACACTCACAGTGGCGTACATGTTAAAATTACAGCAGCTGTTCTTTGTTTGCCTGTAGAAGACAACACTGACATTTCTACATCTGGAGCTCTTAACTGCTATCTTTCCTTTCCAGTAGGGGGCACAGGTTAACACTAATCTGACAATGACTGAACAGTTCCCCCTTGTGGAGAATCTGTCACTTGCTAAACGTGAACAAATGACTTAGTGAGTGAGTGACAAGACAGCTTTCTGGCGTGCTCTGCATTTGAAGGAAATAAAAAGATTGTGCGCCTGTTCCCCTGTAGCGTTTACAGTCTAAACTGCTCATCATATGATATACATGTGTGTCCACACGTGTAAACATGCCCGAGTCTCTGACAGAACAAAATCATGTGAGGTCACAGGCAGGTGTCAATCACTCCTTTGCGTCATAGCAACCACTCACCATGCACCCTCGCCCTGAGACAGCCTGCTCTCAGGGCTGGTATCCACAGCGGAACCGCAGTGGGGCATCCTGCTGAGGGAACCATTACAACACGGGAGTCAAACCTGCTGCTGGCATATCACACTGCTGTATGTGCCCTATTTATAATGTCCTCATTCACTGTCTACATATTTTCTCTTCTCAGACTGGAGCCATGATTTTATTTCTCTTGAGGAATATGACAATGTCGCTTTAATTTGCCACAAGAATTAAATTATAATCTTATCGTGTAATTTGTGACTGCTTGCACAAAGCAGACCACGTCTACTCAGGCCTGAAATCTCTCTGCTGCTCTGCCCTGTGTTTCTTTGTGAGGCAGAATACACACAGTGCAGAGCAGGAATGTCTCACAAAAGCAGGTCTTTTGCTCTTGGACGGGTTTTGGTATTCAGCTGGAACTAGGTCACAGTGTTCACCCCAACAGTGGGATAAGTAGAGCAGGGGAGCAGGAACACAGGCTCCTCCTTGGCCTGGCAGGAAGTGGCCCAGCAGAACACTGTTAATGAGCCCGAAGCATTAACCTTCCCTCTCCTTGACTCCACCCACCTGGCTAACCACAACCCTGGAGTGTGCCATATGTGTGTGTGCGCGTGTGTGTTTTGCTCTGTAAAAACACTTTAGGTGTGCTTGATTTAGCATTGATGAGAGGGGCTTGGCTGGAGTTGTGTACCTTCAGGTACTGTTAGTGTTATTAGAGTGTTGAGGGATTACTTAGATAAATAAAGCACAACTTCTATCAGAGACAAAATATGACATTTACCTAAACACAGGGTGAGTATGCACAACTGATTTTGGCATGCACTGACCTTTAACTCCTCCTCCATGTTTGACACTCTTTTCTCGAGAACTTGTTTTTCCTGTAAATAAAGAAGAAACGACTGAAGTAAATATACTCAAATGGCCCATTGGAAACCCAAAGAGTGCTGTGAGACTATAATTTGAAGTAGACAGGAAAATTAGAGGGGGAAAAGACCAAGAAAAGATATGGATGTTCATCCATCTAGATCAAATAAAATACCAAAAGGTTGCCAAGACACTTACCCTTTTCTCCGAATCAAGTACTGTAGATCTCTCTGACATTCTGTCGTGCCTCTAAAAGGTAGAATTTTACTGTTATTGTGAAGTATTGGGAGAAAATATTTAAAGAAGTGTGGGGGGGGATTGGATCCTTTAGCACACCCGGGGGACAAGGATGATAGTGAAGCACTGAAAAGACACCTGTAGTTTTCATCTCTGAGTTTTCTGTACCTGATTGACTTTCTCCAGCTGGGAACGTATCTTAACCAGTTCTTGTTTGCTGTCCTGCAACCTGGACTTGAGCTTCTCATTCTCATGCAAAGCGTCTGCATACATCTGAAAATGCAGCATGAACACAATAGCTTAATTCCAGAGATACTTGTCTTTTAATGCGTCAAATCCTTTATAATTGATTTTCTAAGGCAATTCATTCAGTAAATCAACAAAAAAGACAACATGTATACATTGCTCAAAAACACTTAATCATCACAGTATAACATCATGTCAATTAAACATCAGAGATATCAGTCTTTCCAGTTTTGCAGGCGGTGGCCACAGAGCTCTCTCCGTACGCTTCCTGACTGATTGTTCTCAAGTTTTGCGTTTTGCTAGTGTCCTTGTCACTACTGATAGTATGAGGTGGTCCCTGCAGCCCATTCAGGTTGCACAGGTAGTCCAGCTCCTCCAGGATGGCACATCCATTCATGCCGTCGCAAGAAGGTTTGCTGTGTCTCCCAGCACAGTCTTAAGAACATGAAGGAAATACCAGGAGACGGGCCATTACATGAGGAAAATATAATACTAATCTGTCATATTGTACATTGTTACGGTATGGTAACGGTATGGTCCACCAGCCTCATATAGCCTCATATATATTTGGTTAGATACTATCTTAAGTCAAAAGTAGACATCATTCCTTATGTGGGAACACTTAAGTGAATTTTTATTTAAAGATTTCACAGATAAGATTCTCATCCTGGTAATGATCTAAAAATCCAATTAAATCTCCATCATTTGCCCTTATTGGAATCTTTTATCTGCATGGTGATCCAACAGTGAGGACTTCAGCTTTCTGCACCACATGAATAATTCAAGAGAGACTGTGCTTGTTCACACTGAGTTACTACCTTCTTATAGTCTTTGGTAGTGGAGTCTTGCTCCTGTTTATTCAGGGCGGCCAGCCTCGTCTCCCTCCGTGTGTAAGAGCTGGTGCGGCCCAGTGGCTTGTCAGTTGCACTCTCCCCACTGGAGTCATATCTAAAAGTAACACATTCAGTAAACAGTGCTACTTTCTGTAGTGTTTTGTTCGGAAATACAGTTTTCTGTTACAGGAAAAAATAAACAATGTGAAATCCTTACCTTGACAATCTGTCATGCTGAAAAACAAAGAACAAAACCATGTTAGTTTGATCACTCAGGCCCACAGCATGGGAACAACACAGCGTAAAAAAATGTTCTGTCGTGGTTAGATCCAGATTTATTTGTTTGATAAAACCAAACAGAGGCTTGGCAGGGAAATATTTTCCATTTTGAGACAACAGAGAACAAATCAAAGCAGTGAATAATCACAGTGTGATCAGGGGCCTGAATTCCCAGAGGGAAGACACGCATGCAGAAGTGAAATATAATTCACCCCAACAGTGCACTGACATGGTTCACACGGGTCAAACCTCCCCGGTGAGCCCGGTTAATCTTTTAGAACAGGCGGCGGCCATGCAAATGCCTGCAGTGTAAAGATCGACATCATGACATCAGAAGCTAAGTATCTGCTGTGTGACGGGTTGACGTCTGACCTCAGACAACAGACCGACAGCAGACTGTCCTGTTTTTGCTATGACTAGTCCAGTGTACATGGCTGCTAAGTTGCCTCTTGTGATCACAGTTTGTTTTACATTTTAACCAAGGAGTCTGGCTATTGTGCTACATTTAGAGTGGTTGCATATGTATTTTTTTCTCTAGCTGAATTCCACTCACGTCTGTGTTTTCAGAAGTCATGTGCCTATAATTATACTGTAATTAGCACAGAACTGGTGAGTGCAGTTTGTGTTTTCTGTCTCCCTGTACTGATGTACATGTCTACATTGTATATGCCGTGTACACAGATATCCCATATCAGTATTTGTATCTTGCCAGACCTGTTACTTCGCTGAACATTCCTGAATAAATAGATAACTCACTGCCATCAGCTGATGGATTGTGCCACATGAGAAGATGAAAGTATTTACTGTCAGTCAGAGACTGGAACAGAGAGACAGAGAGGGAGAGACAGGATGCGGTAAAATGAGGCCAGACTGATCCATGATGTCTTTGCAATATTTGATGCAGTCTCGTAAACTTAACTCCTAAATTCAAACATTGGGAGTAGTACTCTTGCTAGGGAAAGAAGGCTTTAAACACCTCTGTTTAAAAGTGCTTTGCAATAAACGTATTGTGTGGTGGTCCAAGCTGTTGGAGACACGAAGCAGATGTAAGACTGCATTAAAAGTGTATGCTTTATAGGAGGACACTTTATGTCAAAAGGAATGGAGTGCACAGTTATTCCTGCGCTCACAACTGGGGAGTTGGGAGATATTTCATGCAGCGTCAAAGGAGCTATTCCTCAGCATGTGTTTACATAACTGAACCAGCGCTGCCTGTCCTTATGTGGTCATGTGCTTAAGCAGAGCCATCCAGGAAAAAACAGACCTCTATGACCTCAGATGAAAAAGGGCCGAGGATGGAGCCAAGAAGAGCTCTCACTCACACCGATCTCTCTTCGTGCAGTGCTGGGGAGATTCCTCGATCAGATTTTGTGCACACTCATTAATCAACTGGGATGATTGGCCCCCTGGTTTAAGAATAAATTATCATGAAGTCTGCTCTTGGGGATATGAATTGTTACACAGTCCTTCTGCAAACTCTTTCAAGATTATAAGTTCCTGTATGCAAACCTATTTCACACTAAAGGATTAGCAAATTGGTGAAATTAGTTTTTTTAAAGCTTAATTCTTGGGTGAGCAAAGTGGGGTTTATAAGACCAGAATCTAGAAAAAAGTAAAAGAGAGAATGTTTTTTTGTATGTATATGAGCATCAAGAAACTTTTTGCAAAATTGAGCCAAAGCTAGGAACTGAATCATAACTGAAATTCTACTTCTGATAGCAGCTGCAACAATGTGATTCCCTTGTTAGGAAAAACAGAGGAAGTCAGAAGTGGCGCATGTAGCTCATCAAACTTGGCGAGGCCGAGCAGATACAGGAGGAGACAATCAACTGGAGGGAGAAAAACAACTTGGTCTCAGACTGATGGATACAGCCTCTAAACGGGTGCATGCTTGGACCGTGGGCGCTAAGTAAATACAACTGCCACAAGCCACAAGTCTTATGGCTTGTCAAAACCAACATCATACACACGTGGGCGGCTCGCTGCTACGGTGCATTAATGATAATGTTATGTTAACAGCATTTCACAAGAGCCACTACAATCCTCATCATCACCCTCGCTCTCGCCCTTTTTCACCTCTTCCCCTCATAGCTTCACTCCTTCAGAGCTGACTGGATTTTGCAGTAGGAAAATCTGAGCTACAAACATACACTCTCTTCACCCCCACTACTGGAACTGACACAGCACACACAACCATAAAAAGAAGTTTCTTCCACATTCACTCACCTTTTCTAACTTCTGCCACTCTACTATTAACTCTTCACAGTACTGTCTGGCCACTGTGAGCATCTTTTTCTCTTTCAAGAAGACTGACCCAAAATGCCTCACATCCAGTGGTACTTATAGTAAAAGTACTGATACCATAATGTAGAAATACTCCATTAAATGTCTTGTACACTTAAGGAAAATTACAGACCAGTATTACCAGCAAAATGTACTTAAAATGTCAAAAATACATTGCTCCTGTTATTGATTTATATTTTTTAGAATGTTAATACTGATGCATCAATGCATAAGAGGTATTTTTCTGTCCTAGCTAGTCAAAGTGGAGCTTGTTTTAATTACTTTATTTACAGTTAGTTTAGTCCAGTGGTTCCCACCCAAGGGGTCAGGCCCCTCCAAAGACAGGTCACAAGAATATCTGGGTGGCCGTGATATAATTGATGGGGGGACAGATTTCTTTGGTGGAACTGCTGAAAACTCCACTAATATAATCTTTAATTATGTGTTGTGTTTCATAAGCTTATCAACTGTTGATGTGAAACGTAATAGGTAACTGTTAATAAGTATAGTGGAGTAAAAAGTATAATATTTCCCTCTAGAATGTTTTGGAGTACAAAACAGTACAAAAGTAGCATAAAATGAAAATACTCAAGTATAGTAAAAGTAGCTCAAATATACAGTACTTCAGTCAATTTACTTAGTTACTTTCCACCACTATGAACATCTACAGTATAATGAGTGTCATCCACTAATGCAAATGTGTTCCTGATTACACTTTTTCCTGTTGCTCAAAGCTGTAACACACACTGTATTTTACCAAAGAGGACCAGGTTTTCATCAAAATATTGCGGCAAGTGCTAAAAATACTGCATCAGCCTAATTCCACCCCCAACCCCTCTGCATTGCGTTTTCTCCCCTATGAAAACTCAAATCAGGTTGACATCATGGAAGACAAATGCCTGAGCTTCACCATGGATACATCTCTCCGTGATGTATCCACACATCTTGCAAAAAGAGCAGGGAAAGGACAGCATCCACTGGTAGTATCCACTGCTAGCAACTGCACCATAATCAGAGTGTCTGTAGTGTCTAAAAACATAGGACCATGTGGATCTCCATATTTTTTCTGTGCCTTTAAATGTGGCTGTCACACAGAGTACAGCTCAGTCTGCTCTGATATAAACACAACACTCAAACAACGCCCATGAGAATAAGCCACTTAGACAGAAAAAAATAACAGGAAATTACAGAGAGAATGTTTCAATCCAAAAGTTTTTTCCAGAAAGTGTGGTCAGACTCTCAGTACTCACCTCTCTTTCACGGGTCATCAAATAATCTGAGATGATGAGTGATTCACAAGTTATTTGATCATTTTAATAAAATCATTTAATGAACAGTGGTTGATTATTCATGAAAATGCATGTACTTATGTTGAATTTTTTAGGAAAAAACTCATAGCCTTGCTCACAAAGGCCCATGTGCCATGACATAAATGTTTTACTAGGGCTGCTATTAAAAATGATTTCCATTATCCATTAATCTGCCAATTATTTTCTAGATTAACTGTTTTGTCTAAAGAGCGTCTCCAAGAAGACAAAGAAATGACCAGTATAGTTTCCAAGTTCAAGGTGACATCTTTAAACTCCTTGTTTCATCAAAAAAAACGTCAAGACCCCCACAATATTTAGTTTCCTATCATATGTGACAAAGAAACTGAAATCAAGGAAAATTCTGTATTTCTTCTTTAAAAATTACTACAATAATGAAGATATTATTGAAATAACTACTAATTCATTTTCTGTCTATTAACTCACTGATTCATTGTTTCAGCTCTACTTTACACAGAGCATGTGCTGTCATTTATTTAGACATCTTATTAATCTGGTTTATGGACCAATTAGTAACACCTACAGGAAATAAGGTGCTTTGAAAACTTGATAGTGAGTAAATAAACTAAGAGCATACAACATTATATATATTCTTAGTTTATAATAGCAATAATTTTAAATGCTCCATGGAAATAGATTATACATACAGAGACATGAAATTAGACACATCTACCCTGTTAAGTTCTAAAAGGTGATTGATTGATCTAAAAGGTGTATTTCTCTAGAAGAAAAGTTTCTGTTCTTACTCTGTAGTTTTTGTCTGTTGGTGATGGAGAGGACGGTGGAGAATCTGTCAGTGACTTCCTGGTGCGAGTCAGGTCCTTGGTGCGCGGGTAGTAGCTTGACATTGCCTTCCTCTTCCCTGGATTTGTCAGGTCAACTTCTACTGTAACATTCACCGAGGCCACCACCAGATAACAGCTGCACAGACGCACAGATTCCCTCAAACAACAGTGACGCAGATGCCCATGACTGTGCTCCCGGGGAATCCTCAGCAACAACAGGTGTGTGAGTGTATGCGTCTGTCTCAGTCCAGCTTCACACTCCCGGGAACTGGAGAGAGCTGCAGCTAAGTTTGTAAGGATTTCAGATGTGTGGTCACGCCTCCTTCAAAGCTCACACAGTGAAGCAATAATCAGACCAAAAACGCAAAGGACAGCAAAACTAAATAATCTCTGTTGATTAGAAAAGCAGACAAATAACTCACTTATTCACTAATAAAGTAAACAAATTATAATCCCTTGTTTCCGCTCTGTTTACACTGAGGTTTTTGCTGAAATCTGAAAATGTCCAAACGGAGGCAACCAAAAGAGAAAAGTTTGTTCCCAATGCTGCCTCTGCCTGTGTTTCCCAAAGTTATACACACACTCTCTCTCCATCTCCCTCCCTCCCTACCTTGCTTTCTCTCTCTCCTTCTCCTTTCACTGCTCGGTCGCCCTCCCAGTCCCTCCACCCCTCCTACCCCCACCGCACCCCCTGCTTCTCCCTGCTGTCTCCAGCTTTGGCAGCCTGCCAGAGGCTCTGCTATGGCAGGACTCGGCACTGAGGGCTAAAATTGTCCACTGATGTGGATGGGGATGAGGGGAGGTGGAACACAATGTCTAAGCAGGGGTGTACAGCAGTTTGTATCCTGGAAGGTCAGCACACAATTTTACCTAAGGAGCCATCAACAACGGTGAAGTGTCAAGTAATTCTGTACACCCTACAGTGTGATGGAGGGGAGATGCTGTTAGTGTGAGTGCTACATAGTGTTAACATGGAGCACTTGTGCCATGTTTCCTCTTACTAAACTATGTTTAATCTATTTCACATTTTAGCCCTGCATGATTAGCAAAAGCATTGGTGATTTTGTCCTTCAGGTCTGGTGTCTTTTATGGCTCATCTTGTGGCCTCATGAGGTTTTATGAAAATATAACATTTTTGTTCCATCTTTCTTTAAAGTCACCATCTTACTAAGTAAGGGAGTAGTTTGGGGAATGCGCTTATTTGTTTTCTTGCCTAGAGTTAGATGAGGACATGGAAACGGGCAAACAGCTAGTCGGTGCAAAGGTAATAAAATCCGCCTTCTAGTACCTCTAAAGCTCACTAATTAGCATGTTGTATCTTTCCTGTTATCCATACAAAAACCGAATTGTAAAAACAACAACTTGGGGTTTTACTGATTGATGTCACTGCCCCCGGGCCAAGGTATAGCATCGCACATACAGTAATCCTAGTAACTGCAACATGTTGTTTCTATGGTTCTGTTTTTGTACAAATTTAACAAACAAGATATAATGTGTTAATTTTTGAGCTTTAGAAGTGCTGGTAGTCAGATTTTGCTACCTTTGGACAGAGGCAGGTGCTAGCTGTTTCCCCCCTGTTTCTAGTCTTTGTGCTAAGCTAAGCTAATTGGCTGCTGGCTGTAACTTCATAATTACCGTACAGATATAAGAGAGTGGTACCAGTTTTCTGTTCTAACTCTCAACAAGAAAGTGAATATATATCCCAAAATGTCTAACTGTTTCTTTAGAAAAACTCTGCAACACCCCCCTTACTTTCTTCCCATAGAGTCAGCACAAGCCGGCTCATGCTATCTTCCTTTTATAGTGAGGTTCGCAGCACCTTGCTGTTCCCAAACTCCCTCAGCCTTTCTCAGAGCAAATAGATAGAAGGAAAGATGGGAGTGAAAGGAATTAAACAAAAACACAGAAGGAGAAAAAAACAGAAAGATGGAGAGAATATGAAAGAGAAAGAAAATTTAAGTGAGAAAGACTTTGTTTAACAAAAACACTGTGCTGAAATGATGTGGCTTTCGGTTTAGTGCTAGTGTACAACAAACCACACATAAACATAAATGTGCTAATTTACCCCCAAGTATCCTTAAGTTGCCTCTTAAGCTCTTCTTAAAAGGCTAATGTTCATGGCCTTGGTTCCTAAACTATTCTGTACTGTATCAGTGATACACTGTGTGGGCTTTTGTGCCAGAGAATTTGAGATAAAAGTAAGTTCCGAAAACTGAAATCTGCAACAGTAACCTTCTTGTATACAGTATATTTGTAATACACGTTCTTCTTCAGAGACCATCCGTAGAGACTACACCTTGGTGGCACTGTTGAGTTTTATTAAGAGTTGATCCCAGCTGAAGATCCCCTAGTCTGATCCTCACTCTCAGTTTCAGGACATTCCATTTGGGATATTATTTTCATTCGTTTCATGAATACAGAAAATGAGCCAGAGTTTATTTCATTTTTGGAGTGAACGTTGAAGAGCAGGATGTCCTACAAGGAGGATCTAATTACTGGATCCCATCCAGTATAAAGTGGTACTGTAGTAAAAACAAATGGCTGCATAGGTAGCCTTGCTTGCTCTGTCTCTGTTTATTCCCTCTCTTATAAATACCACCATCACCAACAATCTTAAATGTAGCAGAATCTCTTAGCTGACTTGCCTTACACCTGTCTTTCTCTCTGTTGCTGAAAATCAATGTGGAAAATCTGCTCTGATCATCATGGAGTCATGCAGGGGTCGGCTCTGGCAATGGGCCGCCTGTCATGCTTCTGATGAAACCTCACAGCTCGGTATGATTATTACAGACAGATATAGTCCTCTCAGTAATGCGTCGAGACTCTCGTGTTACCAACAGCTCTCTGTTTCAGATTCCACCATGGGGGACAGCTGAACGCCTGACCTGGAGTCAGCTCACAGGAAAGAACTGAACATTCATACTGTATAATCTTGCAAAAGTCACCCTTCACTGCCTTATCATCCCTGTGTCGCCTCTCCTTCCCATTCACTGGTATCTATTTTTAAATTCTTTTTAGAAACACGGAGAAATAGAATATTTTCACTGAAACTCAAGTGATTTTCCAGGTTGCTCCAAGTAAGAGGAACTGCTGATGAGCTATGGGGTCAGGGGTTTTTTCACATGCAGCACGCAGGTGGAGGGAGCACACATAACAGTTTAGAGGGTGAAAGAGAAGGGAAAGTCAATCCCTCTGAATCCAAGGCAAAGACTAAGCAGAGAGAGTCTCAGTGTTGCCCAATATGGTATGGAATGCTGAGACACCTCAGCCATGTGATGCGAAGGAGCAAAGCGACTTACAGGGAGGGTGGGGGGTGGTCCTCCTGGACTGTCTTTCTATGAGACTGTACTTCTAGTTAAAAGAATCTCCGAACACATGCTTCATGTCTGCAACTGTGGATTACGGTACATCTCAAAATATTGCATCAGAGATCAGAGCTTAGCTGCCTTTGAAGCATACTTAGTTTTCGGATGAGGGAGAAACAGGATGTGAATATGAAACAATGGCGCTAATGAATATTGTACAATGAAATCACTGTGGCATAAGATTCTCAGTATGTCATGAACAAATCTAAACTTCACACATTCACAATATATCTCAATGTATTAGAATGTAGTGTGTATCAAGTGAACTGTAAACACTCAATTCTCCTTGATAAAACGAGGCATGAAAAAATAAAGTTTGAAAATATTTTGGCTCCATCTAGTGGTACTTAGGGAAAACAACAGGAAAATAATGGCCATCAGCCAGAGGAGCTCAGATCACCCTTTTTTACCTCTGCATTGTTGTAGTGTGAACCTTCGACATCACAGCAGTGTCGTCTCTGCTGCTGCTTTGTAGCAAAGGTGAGCTGCGCTGCATCTTCAACAGGGTTCTGATTTTCATCTCTCCACCATCTCTCACCAACTGCACACATAAAGTAAGTTTTTCTATTGTACTTGTCCATTAATCACTGCTCACAATTATCCCCTTGATACTAACGACTTTTCATATAATTTAGAAGGCACACAGAAACACAAAAGAGAAAATTCTGCATTATATTTCTTTTGGCATATCAGCCAACAAGCCGTGAAAAATTATTAAATACCAATGATTTCCACCTGTGATTGTGTGTTGATTGGTGTTTTTACACAGCACTGCCCCTCACAAATTTCTCCCAAAGTCTATTATGATTTCAATCACTTTGCTCCTAAAAGGTCTAACAGCTAGTTAGACCTCTCTAGTTTCTAATTGATCATAAATCATGTAACTATGTCGGAAAAAATCCTATTTTTTGTCTGTGAAGAACTTTTTGGCAAACACAAAGAATACATTCTGTACACATATAGCTCATTTAACATTTAAAACATGAATTATTTAGTTATTTTGTGTAATAAGAATGCTTAATGGTCATTTCTGTATTTTGTCACTTTCATCAATGCGCAGGGTTACCACAGGGTTAATACTTCACTTCATATTGGGTTTTAATTAGGTCAGATGAAAAGAAAATCAGAAATATTTGAAAATATCGTGATCATACAGCAGTGTCAGTGAGACCCCAAATAATAAGGGAGTAAAGCCAATGTCAATAAGACACACACACACAAACAAACAAAATCCCTTAATATTTTTCTGACCTCTGAAGGAGTTGTTGTAAGGGAGCCCACAGGATCCAGCAATAGACGAATATGAAAGGTTTGGTATCGGACATTCAGTGACAGTTGCTAACCTGGGTTCAATGTTCCCCTGCTGTACATGAATAAGAGAAAAAAAGAAATTACAGTACATCACAAACATCCTCCCAAGTTAAAAACAATCCACTTCAGCAGCAGAAAGCCTAAACTGATTTCTCAAGCTAACCTCGTCCATTTTGCTCCATTTCGAATTGATGTCTGAGTTTTCCGTGGACTCTGTCAGGCCGATTTTGACTCTCCTGTCATCTGTCAGGCTTTTCCTAAGACAGGACCTATCATCCACAGTGCTTCCTTCCTCTGTCTGCCTGTCTTGAGGAGACAGGCAGCTGGTCTTCTGAGCCTCTTTCAGGTCTGTCAGAGTCACACCCTGCAGGACATTCATACACCTTCATATCTGTCAACAGTTAAACTCAATCCAATAAAACGTAAACCTCTGTAAGCCCTTTGTTCTTTACCTGTGTTGACCTGCGGGTCTGCCTGGCATGACGAGACTTTGCTTTCCTCTGAGACTCCGCTTCTTCATCCCTGACCGGGGTCAGATATAACCTGGGTCAGTAAAAAAAAACAAAAAATTGATTTGAAGCAATAAGGCTACAAAAGGGTAACATCACAGACATGTAAACAGAGTTCATGTAAACCATTCAAGGACAGAAAACAACGTACAATTTTTGATTAGGGCAAATACTGCAGACAGAAACTTTTAAAAACACAGTTCAAAAACCCAGAACACTTTTAAAATCCCAGGTTACACAGTTCTTTATCAAAATAAGTGATCATGAAATCAAATGAAATGGGTGAAATTATAGGCAACAACAGATGTTAATTGGAACCAAATAATATAAGTTAACATTGTATACTGTAGTTAATGCTCCAAAAAGGAGTAAAGTAGCATAGATTTGATCAGTTGTAAATGCTTTCTACCAGCCAGACTCAGTTTTCAACATTTTGGCTTTCAGACATAAAGAAAGAACTTTCAGTGTACAATTATTTATCTGCTGTTATAATTTCAGGTGGGAGTGGAATAAATGCAGAGGCTCTATTTGACTATTTTAAAATAGCACAAAAAAAGTTTGGTTACGTGATGCAGATTTGCATGAAACTGTTTTGAAAGCTGTTTTTAGGTGTGGATAGCATGGCTGGATGAAGTTGTTAGGCCCCGGGTAAAAATTTGTTGTTGGGCCCCTATTGATTCTGGACCTCTCTGCCTGCAAACCCTTTTTCCCAGATACCCAGAGACCAACCATTGCTGCTGTCCTGCAATAACACTGCCTGCCCCTGCCTGTGTCTCAATTTGTGGTAATATTGATTTCACAAAACTTTATCCCTGTAATGCCAAGTGTATCATATATGATGCACGAGTTTTAGAGATCTCTACATCATCAGTGTGACAATTATTTCCCAAAAAACCCTGATACAATCAGATATGCAATGAACGGATAATCCACCAGGTGGCCGAAATTCGTCCACCATAGGTTCTGAGACAGCCAAAATGGAGGTTGTCATTTGGTGACCTTACAGGTGGTTTTGCTAGGAAACTTTTGCCAATTTTGAAGGAGTTATAGTAAAATCGTGTTGAAAATGTGTGTATCAAATTAGATACAACAGGTATATAAGTTAATGTATACATCTGTAAATCATAGTTTTATTGCATATCCTTCATTATGCATTACATTAAGCTACATTCACTATTTTAATAATTTACGTAAACTAATTAAAGGCATAATTAGGTATATTTAGAGCAGAAATTGAGTTTTTGAGTTTGAGTTGAAGTTTTCTAGCCTGTACTGTATTTCCCTGCTGTAATAAGATGCTAAATGTCTAATTGGATGTTTCCAAGACTCACTTCATAATAATTGTCTTTTTGTCATTGATTTTAAATAAAAATTGACCAATTCAGAGAAGAAATACACAGTAATTTGTGTTTGATTTGTATTTTTTAAATGGGAAAAAAGTACAGCATTGAAGATATCCTGATTATGGATGGCAATTCAAGTGACATTGAGCAGTTAGGGGAAGATTATGATGCTGATGATGATAAAAGGCTCGAGGCATATTGTGTTCTGCATTATTTTATGTTGTTTTAAAAAAAACATGATGAGGGCAAAATATTGCAATAAATTACGAATGTATCAAATACAAAACAAAACCCATACATACGAAGAGCTATTCAATTTTTTTACTTTTTTAAAATTTGGCATTAGGTATAATTACCACTCCATATTCAAAAAAATTTAATTTTCTGACAATTGTGTGATGGTTCAGGCTTAAGGAATATGCACCATTGAAGCACAATATAAACTAAAATAATAAAGGTCTCAAAACCAGGTTTTGACATGGAGTCTCTCTACACGACAGGGCCATAAAATTAAGCAATAATGCAGGACCCTTTTAAAATCAGTATTGTATATTTTATATTTAGTAATCCAAATGTTGCTGTTTACAAGTTTTGGTTCCTCTCATTTTATTTGACAACCACTTTTATCCTCTAGATTCTGTGTTAAGATCCGACATATCCCTGACAGTGCAGAAAGAAACATTTTAGCCAGGGTGGGAAGAGTGCCACATCGTATATGTATAGTGAAAATACATGCAACATACCTTTTAATAGCACATTGATTAAATTATGAATTGAAACAAAAATACTTTTGTTGTTTTGACAATTGTATGTATTAAAATGAAAATATTTCTAATAATAAATTCAAGAGCATTTCAAAAAGCCACATCTTTCAAACGTCCTGCTGTGTATCTTTAATTGCGACCCAAAGCTGCATCAGCAGGTCTAACATCTTGCTGATTTACACTCATCTCACCCTTTATTTTATTTATTTCTCTAATTTCTGCATTATGCATGACTCCATCATCTCATTTTGACAGGAAATACATCAAATTAAGGAAGCAAGATGCCCTGGAAATGCATTTTCATTGCGACTTGAGCAAGATTTCCACCATTTGGTTTAACAGACACATAGAAAGAGCTGAGCAAGCATCAGTGGAGAGGCTCATGTTTTACCCAGAGAGCTGCCCGCCCTTCCTCTACTATGCTTTTACTGGTATTGATCTCTCAGTTGTGAAGTCACCACGAATCCTGACTGAGAGTCAATGTGTTGGTCAGCAGCAGATTCTACTTTACAGTATAATGTACAAAGCATGGACTCCATGACACAGTCCTATAGGCTGATACCAGAAATGATAATTAAATAATCAACCACAAAACAAGTTAGCGCTTTGCCAGCTTCGGACACTTACAAACAGAATTATTAAATGTAACAATTACAATCATGAGTTAAGTTTAGATTTTATCCACAGTCAGTGAAAGTAAAACAAAACCAGCAACCCATATACAGCAAAATGCTCCTCTTAAGCCACATATAAACAAAATGTTATTAATAAGCTAAAGAAGTTTCTAAGAATAATATCCCTAAGCCAATAATTAGTAAAGTACATAAAAAAGCTAACCAAGTAGATCAAAGAGAGTTACTAATTTTCAGTCCCCAAAGCAACAATTTACAACCTCACATTACATCTGTTAAGAAGGCCTACAGCACCTCTACAGAGTGTAGTTACTCTACATTAAGATGACAAATAAGAAGGCTAGAAGCTTTGGCAAAACAGTGGCTTGTCAGACTGAAAATAAAATTGATGAAATAAGAATCCAGGAATAGAACAGCATGATTCAGTCTCTCTGAAACCTACCTGGGAACAGATGCCTGCATGGTCCCCCTGGAAGGTCAGAGAATGAGGCACTGAGACACTGCAGCAGTGATGAGTGGGAGAGGCTGGACAACATGACTCTGCAGCAGGCTGGAGGGGGGGGGGGGGGGGGGGGGGGGGGGGGGGGGGGAGAGGGAGAGACTATCTGGATGATGCACACACAATCACTTTAGACTTTACCAAGGGATGATGCACGCAAATATATACACACTTCCGTTGAACATGTAAAGCAAACACATTTCTGGATTCTCGTCATAGTTTTCCTCTATCATAGTATGTTGAAACTTGGGAAGCTCAATCATTCATTCATTCACTCATGGGGGCTCAAGTCCACTCCAGCACACAAGGAGTGCTTTAGTCGTCTGATGTCAAATCTCCATCTTCCCAGCAAGTGTAGGGGGGCACCAAGAGGAAAACGTAATCTATGGGTGATATTCAGGTTGTTCTTCAAGATAACTTGAGTGCATTATTAAAGTTTTTTGCAGCTGCAACAAAATTCACTACGTTAAAATTACAAGAAGTGATCCCTACGTTCCATTTCATATTAGTTCAAGTTTGTGGTAAAATACTACAATGCTTGAAAGATCATTTATTTGCATCAAATCAATCAATCAAATCAAAAATTTAAACATACAGTGCGGACCACTCATCTGCAATGTCCATGGTTCAATCACAGCCTGTGTTGCATCTCATACCCCTCTCCTACCTGTTGTTTCCAGTTTCCCTCTTTACTATTGACTGTTCAATAAAGCGAAAATGCCAAATGCCAACTTGCAATACTTTCTGACTTCCACAGCCTGTCTGTGGATCTCAGCCCCAAGTCCCATTTGTTCCTAAAGAAGACCAAAGCAGGTCACAAATATATTTAAGGCTGAAACACCTGCATTTCTTAAAAACACCTGGGGACTGTAGTTTCTAGCAAACATCTTGTGAATATTTTCAGAAGCAGGACGGAGTATAGACTCAAAATAAACTACAGTGCAACATAACAGCTAGTGCAACCATGTGACTTGATGTGTTATAATTTTTGGACAAAAATGGAGTTCTATGGCACAGAGGATTAAAGGGATAGTAAGTGATTATAATCTAACTTTTTGTTAAGTTCAGTGAATATTTCCCTCACTGCTGCTAGCTCTCCGTTTTTCCTATACAGCCCTGGATCTGTAAATGGAAAACAAAGACAATAGTGGGGACCCTGCAAACAACATTGTTTCAGCCAATCAGCAACAAGTGGAGCTAGTGCTTGTCCACAGGAGTGATGGAAGGAAGGGGGCAGTGGCTGAGGACGATGGGAACAGGTCTTATAACTGACAGTTCAAACCTCCCTTAAACAAGTGGACTGGAAGGGTGACCGGGTTGTTCATGGTAATCCTAATGCAATATCAAAGTAGGGAGGCAATGTGACAGCTACTTGCAGCAAGCACTGTTAAATTAATATAATCAATCTGAATTGTGTATAATAGCACAAAATTGAGTATACAAAAGCAAAAGGACCAGGGTTTATTTTTAAAAACATGACAATATGAGAAGTGTCATACTGACAGTAATCAATGCCTTGGCAAAAACAGTGCATTGTGTAAACGTGAATTGCTTAGTAAAAATGTACAGTGATGTCCAAGTCTTACTTTGCAACCGAGAACTCCGTTCAATCACTTACCCAAAACATATTCCATATTTGTGAAGCATGACTACACAAACATTTGTCCCGTCTTCAGAGGTAATTTTATAACAATACATTTGATGTGTCTACTCTTTGCCCTAATCACAGTTTGCATTCTGTGGAGCACAGCATTATGAGAATTCACATCATTCCAGTTGTCTTTAGAGCACCTCAGAGAAACTTAACAATGGCATGGTATGCTTTGCCCTTTATTTGTTTTAATGTTCAGCAGGTGTTGAGTTCTGGTGACTGGAGATAAGAGCCATGAACAAAGGCACTCCATGCTCCTTTAGATTTCACAGTCCTGGCATAGTTTAAATGAATGTTTGGGGTCAGTGTCCTGCTGGAAAAGTCCTCTTCTGTGCAACCTAAAACTAGTCTGACAAGACTTACTTAAGTAGTCTGTAAAGTTAAAAAATTGATTTATCTTTAGTCAAGACAGTGAAAAGTTGATACTGTTTAGTCAAACGACTGGTTTTGTCAAAGATGAGGTGTGGTAACTGCTACAAAACAAGCTGGTTTTCGGGGTTTTTTTTGTCAATACTTTGAACACGTTAGCGCGACGCAATATATTTATCTTTTAGTTTGTGTGGTCAGCTTGAGTTTAATTGGTGTTTGGTGGAGAAAAATTCATTGGTTGTGAAATTTTACCTATGTGCATTTTATAATGACACGCTAAAAACACAATATTTAGCTGCAGTTCAACACTGCGATAGTTTTCTATCCATCTGGAGAACAATTAGTCCCTGAGGTGCTTCACTAAGCTATTCTGATAGTTAGAAGCAACTGCCCCACCCACCCAGTCAAAACATAAGCAGTGACATTAATGCATAGATTATTTGTTAATTGTTAGAAGACCCACAGCAGCAACAAATAATGCAAAGTCTGATCTGACTAAACTAAAAAGGCATTTAAGCTGCAGAATGATGTTGATGAAACCAAACAGATCTTGGCAGAAGACTCAAGACTTTTAGGCCACTATCTTACAATACTGCAGGTGTCTGGAAAGAGGTTTAAAAAAAAAACAAAAAAAAAAACACTATTAGCCAAGCTAAATTCAGCAAACCTCCAGTTTAAGTACTGAACCACAGATATGCAACTTAAAAAAGTAGAAAAACAATCAACTACAGTTTGTCCTATACTTTAAAAACATTCAGGAATTGTTTATCAAAAGATGCTTTTTTTCCCCCCTCCTTCTTTTGCTTAGTTGGCCATTTTGCCTGTGTAAACAATAAGGATACATTAACTTACTGCAACAGTTCTTCCTTCCAAAATATATAATTCAGCCAGTGACAAAAAAACATTTCATGTCACCAAGACAGGCATTACGTATGGCTTTAAGTGCACTGATAAACAGTGTATGCATTGGCTTCTTGTTACGTCATTGGCTTTTCGTTTTACAGTTTAGTACAGAGACTATCCTTGACAAAAAGAGTGGAAACTGCTCTGTAGAAAGACATTTGGACTTTTATGGATTAAGGCTTTTGAGGACGTTATTGGCAGGTAAAACCCTGAATCACTCATTTTCTAACTTAATAGCCATCGCTATAGAGGTACAAGTTTCAGCTCAGAATCCAGAGTAATGGCTGATTTCTTTTGACTAGGTCTGCCTCTGCAAGAGCAACCACATAATGAATACTGTATGTAAACGGCAGCAATCAATAGTTGCCTTCCTACAGTATCTGTCATGTTGTAGACTGTGACTTCAGTCTCAGAATTGGATGCGTCCGGTGTGGAATAATCTCTCTTTCTGGTGACGTGCACTCTGAAAAATATGACAACACAAACAACATTAGGAGGGATATGACAATATTTGATTATTTTTTTTAAATCCAAGTTATGTTAATAAATAACAGAAACCGTTTTCTTGTTATATTCATACTTACATTCATCCTCTGCATCATTTTCTAATGGCTCCTCTCCTTCCTCTTCAGCCGCTACATGCTGCTGTTCTTCCTCCTCTCCATCAGGTTTCTCCTCCTCGAGCAGTGACTCTTCCTGACCTATATCTTCTTCGGAGGCCTCCTCTTCAGCTGCTACATCCTGCTCTTCCTCCTCTCCATCGAGCAGTGACTCTTCCTGACCTATATCTTCTTCGGAGGCCTCCTCTTCAACTGCTACATCCTGCTGTTCTTCCTCCTCTCCATCAGGTTTCTCCTCCTCGAGCAGTGACTCTTCCTGACCTCTCTCTTCTGAGGCCTCCTCTTCAGCTTCTAAATCCTGCTGTTCATCCTCCTCAACATCAAGTTTCTGCTCCTTGAGCACTGACTCTTCCTGAACACTCTCTTCGTCAGTTGCCTCCTTTTCAGGTAACTTCTCTTCTACACCTTCTCCTCCCTCTGCTGTCTCAGCTGGATCCACTTCCCCCTTTTCTGATAAGGCAACTGACTCATCTTCCTCTGTCTGATCTTCCTTTACTGCCTCAACCTCCTCTGCAGGAGCAGTTTTTTCTGTCACAGAGTACTCCTGCTCAACAGGAGCTTCATCCTGTGCAGCTGCCCTTCCTTCACTTGCCTCTTCTCCCTCATCTGCCAGGTTGGATGCCTCAACAGGAAGTGCTTCTTCAGTTGCTGCAGCTGCCTCTACTTCAGCTGCAGAAGCCGTCTCTTCCTCTGTCTGTTCTACTGACTCAGCAGGAGGTTGAGTTTCTCCCACCAGCTAAGATGAGAAAAGTAATAAAATAATGTACATTAGTTCATCAGCAGACAGGAGTCCGGACAGCAAATCTTTTACAGGTCTGCTATCTGGATATAGGCCTCTCTGTAAATGGAATGAGAGACAAATGATAAAAAAAAACAAGGATCTATACTATGAATTTAAGTGTAGTGTGACTCCACTAGAGAATCCATGCCAGGCAATTAGCTCTGTTAAATTAACGAGATGAAAATTATGGTTCCCTACGGGCCCAGTGAACAGAAATAGTAAAGAAACCATGTGCGCTGACAGTATGTGTGTTAAAGTTTATTAGGCATGTTCTGTCATAGTTCAATCTATGGTCAATAATGTAATGATACACAACTCCTATGAAAACAGACAGATTGGTGGAATTTCATAATAAAAATGGAATCAACTATAAAAACACAGAATATCGTGAAATCTGGATGCAATGTATAAAAATCTGTGTTTTTCCTAGCATTGTAAGTGTTTTTGTCCCCTCCCACTTAATCCAAATGACCTGGGAAAAAAAATAAAAAATATTGCTATGTTTTGATGTTTACGGGCACGCTGTTTCTGTCCTCTGCATTGGTTTTTTCCCTCCACCCACCTCGAAGAGAGTCAGCGTGCTAGCAAGAGCTCATCACTTCAACAAACTATCAAAAGTGCATTTGTGAATTGCCCCCATAAATAATGGCACATACACTTGAATGTTTCTACATACATATTTGCATGATATATCAAATAAATTGATATTGACTACATTTAATATTTTCTTATTGATTCCATACTTTGACAAAATGTACATAACTCATAAGCACAGACAAAATTAATTATTTTTTTAATGATTTCATAATGCCCTAAACTTTGTCTGTTTTGACATTTGTGACCTATTTATTTTAAATGAAGACAAATCTGATTTAGTCTGGTTACAGACCTCTGAATTGCTGTACGCATCTCTGATTAGATCAGCTACTGAAACAAAAAATGGCAATTCCAACTGATTGTCAAGCTGGCTGTCTGTTGGTTATCTGGCTAACCTGCCTCTGAATATTTTCCAGCTGAGCCCCAAGTCCAGACTGCAGACTATGGGCTGCTGAGTTCTGATACTGCAGACTTTGACGTACCGTGTTGAGGTGCTCCTCCACACTGGCCTGCTGGAGCCGCTGGGACTGTTCACTCTCAAGCAACTCTCTGAAAGACAGAAGACACACATAATGACAGTTTTTGAATGAAAATCTCTCTGTTTCACAATATGTTTTTTGTATTTATTAATTGTCCGGTTAGATGTTGTCTCATATATATATATATATATATATATATATATATATATATATATATTATATATATATATATATATATATATATATATATATATATATATATATATATATATATATATAATATATATATATATATAATATATATATATATATATATATATATATATATATATATATATATATATATAAAATTGTGAAGCCCCATGAAGCCTGAACCCTTATTGTTGAAATATCGGCAAAATGCACCCATGGCTTCATTACATTGCTTTCTTATACAGTCTGTAAGCCACATTTACACAATGTGGACATTGGCTTCAAGTTGATTTTACATTCAAAGGAAACTATATGCAAACCCTTCAGCTCCAAATATTGTCAGTACAATAGAAATGTTTATACAGATCAGGGCAATCTTGTGAATATGAGGCCTACAGACACTGGCCTAGACTAACACAGAGATGCAGACAGTGGCAGCCAACAGGGCTTTGACAGAGTCAACATACAGTTACGGGTCACAGGAGGAGAGCCATTCTCTCCACACCACTAAATGCGGCTGCTTTTTCCACAACCTACCTGACAGTAGCCATCTCCAGTGTGTGGGCCTCAAGCTGAGCCTGGTAGTTGTCCAGCTGCTCCTTCAGGCCGAGCACCTCTGCGGCCTGTCCGTCCAGAGTGGCACTCAGCGTTGCAACCTGTCCAACTCTCTCCTCCAGCTTTGACTCCACATCTCCCAAGATCCCTGTCAAGTCCTCGACCTTCTGGGATAGGTCAGTGCTCAGTAAGGCAAGGCCCTCCACCTGAATCCTGACACCCTCAAACTCCTCACTCTTCCCCTTCAGCATAGTCTGCAGCTGGTTCAGTTGCTCCAGAGACACGGTGGCTTGCTGCATCTCAGCCAGGCGAGATTTCATCTCGGTGTGGAGCGACAGCACCTGAGCGGGTAGGTCAGATGTCCTGAGTTGTTCAGCTGTAGCCAAGGCCATGCCCACCTGTTTCTGGGCCAGTGCATACGACTCCTCCAGGGCATTCAGGCGAGTTTCCAGACTCTCTGAAATTTGCTGCAAAACAAAAAAAACAAAAAACAAACAAAAAAAAACAACACACACACACACACAATACAGGAGTGATGCTGAGTAAAGCCGTGAGCTCAGAGTGACTTTCAAGCTCACTGAGCTGGTGCTTCAATTGTCTCTTCTACTGTATAAGTGTACTCAGAACTATGAAAATGTATAATGTATTATGTTACCTACCTTCTGAGAGGACACTTTTATATTCAAATGACATGGTCATCTATTAATTTATTTTGTTACAATCAAATTCTCATCAAATCACAATTCTTATCAGTCAATCAAATGACCTAAGACAGAATATTTTTCACATTACTGTCCCAGATCTTCTAATTAGTCATACCAATATCAAAATCACCAACCAAAACAGGTCTGATCATGCATGGGCAGCTGAGTAAGACCCAACTTCTTTGTAAGATGTTACATGACTCAAACCGAACAAAGAATTGGCATAAAGAAGCAAGTCTTTTCATCAAAAGTAAGTATGTTCACCAGGAGCCAAACTCACGACAGTATGCCAACCAGTATTAAGTTGGTAAAACTTTGCAACTCCAGGGCACCAAAAAAAACCCAGGAAATATTTCTGTAACAAGACTGAGCTAGCAGAGCTGTTCTTGTGCGAAGTGTGCTCCACATTGGCTCACCTGAGCCAAAAGGTGAGGTTGCATGAGACAGAAACAATGAGGACTGGATTTGTTGCATTTAAGTAAGAAATCTTGCTCATCTCCCTTGCCTGCAGCAAGTTAGAAATAGCTGAAATTCTAAAAACTTCCCAGGTAGAGTGACATGTAGCTTAAGGCAGCAATGAACCTTTCATCTTAAAGTAGTTGTACTAATATAGATTCCTACAATAAAACAGTATTTTTGACATCAGAAACGGAGTGAACAATCATTGCTTTTTGTTCTCCTATAATCTTTCAGATGGCCTGTAAACAGCCTCTGAACTGGTGTTCAATATCAAAATCACAGACTAAATTTAGCCCTGGCACACAAATGTCTTATTTTGGCAGCATCCTCTGCAGCTCTGGAAGTATGTTCTTGACTGGTATTATAATACAGACATTTTCCACAGAGGACGTTGAACGTTGCTGTAGCTATTTGAGTGTGCGATAAAGTCTGCTTTCCTGCAGTAGTAGGTCAAGAATAATCCTCATTACAAACGTCAGCAGCTGTGTGGATGTTGGAAATAGCAGCGTTTTGTACTCACTCCAGTGAGGCTCTTGGCATTTTGAAATCTGATATAGGCCTGCAGGTCTTCACTTTCCTTACTTGTAAGTGGTAACGCGCACTGTTGGTGAGGCCTTTTCTTGTATGTGGTGAGCCTGTTTGTGTAAATTATAAAATCGTGAAAATGATTTATACCGTATTCAGAATAATATATAGGACATCACCGGAGGCGACTTGTGCCGAGGATGGCTGCAAACCCAGGTGGCTAATTATTCTCACAGGGAAAGGCCTATTTATTTTTAATTCCTTACCTTACTACTTGACTGTCGCATTTCTTCGTGGGAGGACTGTAGTCTCACTATTTTCATCTGCATGCCCATGAGATTGTCTGTTAGATCAGTTAAAGATTGGTGCTGCTGGAAACAAAACCATGCGCCAGTGGCACCGCCAATTACAATCATGAGAAATAAAACCAACAGAAGAGTGTAATTATTCGCTCCGCCGCGAACTTCTGACTCCATAACTTCGTTTTTGAAAAAGTTGTCTTCATGTTTCTGGTTGCTTTTCCCTTTCCGATGCTTGGCAGTCATTTTCCCCACAAAGGACACAATGTTCTGGCCGGGGGCAGAGAGGTAATATTCAAGGAGCCCGGTGGTTCAAAAAGCCTGGACCGAAGTATAAACGGTAATTCACTTCAGATGGCTCCTTACAGTGGAGCTGCGCGAATCGGACTGGTTTCAATCACCGCACAATAAAGTAACGAGAAGCTGTAGCGAGTTCTTGATGAAGAGGTAGCACTCGAGATGAGACAGGGAGGCGTGGACCTGATAGGTAGCTTGTTCGTCCATTCAAAAAGGGAAAGGAGGAGTGGTGGGCTGGGCCGCCGCCGGGAGTGGCTGAGTCTTTGCCACCATGTGCGCTGCTGTCATCTAATGGAATAACTACACGTCTGGTGGTGGGCTACTGAGAGCTATTTTTTACTGCAGCTGAGGGCCAGAGCTGCATGTGGCCTACAGCAGTCACACATTTCTGTCGCAGGCCATTATGAGTTATAATGATGTGGAATAACAGAAAACCCTATAGGCTGATAAAGATTAATAGTGACCTTATGAATCAATTAACCTAAGAGTTCTTTCCTTTGTATAGTACAGTCTCATTTTAAAAGACTGTCATATTCAGTGGCAAGCACAGACTGTGGAAAGGGCACATTTCTGATAAAGGTCACCTTCAGCGTTTAAGATGTTAACATAGGTGTTTGCTGCTTTCTTACTTTCCATCTCAGTTTAGGTTGAATGTTCAATTTAATCTGCACTCTGGTTAAATCCCCAGTTAACCCTTAAATGGTCTAATTTATTGTTTTGTTATTCGCTGGCTTCTTGTTTTTCCTTGTCATATCGGTTCCACTTGTGTCATCTGTTTCTATGATGTTTGTATCAGTGCAAATAAACCATTCATGCATCCATTATGCTTTGCAGAGTTGGGGGGAGGGATACTGGAGGTTATCCCAGCTCTCATAGGGCAAAAGTCAGGTACAATCTGGGTAGGTTGCCAGTCCTTCAGTGGGCTGACACATATAGAGAGACAACCACTCACAGCCATACATACAGGCAATTTAGACCCAAAGCGGCACAAGGAGAACCCAGAACCTGTGAGATGACCGTGTATAAATCGAGCTTTAACCACTGCACCACCATGCGGCCCTAAAAGCGACACTAATCTGCTGGAAGTTATATTGAGATCATTTCTAGTAAGGTATTTTAAAGCCCCTACACATCAGATGTCCACCCACACTGTCTAGCGGTGGAATATTGTACTAAACACGGTGATAAAAGATGCTACAATAATTAACTTCACCATTTTCAAATGTAGTACATCAGTTTTCTTTTGGCTGATCATACACATCCAAGTTGAACAAACTTAAACTCTTAACTGTGGGTCTGCTAGAGCTGTCTGTAGAAACACAGAAACAGAAACTGTATGTTTAAATTTGTCTGTCTCGTGTGCTTCAATTGAAGTAAACAAGAGACAGAGCAATACAATTCTCAGCTTTACTCCACCCAACTACCGACTGGATGTCTAATCAGCGAGGGTAATTGGAAACACCTGTGGGTGTGCAGGGCCTTTAAAAAAAACACGTCTTCAAAATCAAACCAATTTATGGCACCTGAGATGGTGTTGGTAATGTAACAGTCAAGGCTAACAGCTGGGGTTAGGTTAGTTCATTACCTTTTAACAATACCAACTATTTATGGTATTAGAAATCAACTTTTGTTGCATATTTCTTCTTTGTTACATTTTTGTCAAAAGGTTTGCTAATACTATTAATGATGGCTGAATTCAATTTAGCTGCTTCGGTTTCAGGGTCTTGGTATTGTCCCCACTGACACTGGTTCCCGGGACAATAGAACAGATTCATCATCAATGTTATTAGTAACACCTGTGCCTTTCCTACAACGACAAGTCCAAATAATAATAAATATAGTATACTAATTATTCTCAGTTATTTTTAAAAAAGGTTCACCAGTTCAGTTGGTGTTAAAAAATATATATTTGGTAGATATTAATCAGCTGTATGAGAGATTTACTCAAGACTTAGGAAGTGCATGAGCAAAAAGAAAAAAGAAAACCAAACTGCCACAGCATCAGTGTTATGTATCTCCTGTGAGATAAATATATTTTCTCAAGCTGTTTTGCCACTGTATCAACAATCAGTGGGAAATATCTGACATCAAATCACAACCATCTCCATTTGAATTACTTGACGGAAAATCAATGCTAAAATAATTTTCAAATCAGGAATACAATGTTTGAATTGAGAAATTATTTTATTTTCTTTTTAAGTAGCAGTCCAATAAATACAATATTCCATTTTTTATTGCAGCTGGTGTGTTACATCCAAGCAGCACAACCACTTCAATTCAAACATCATGTGATAAGCATTGTCTCTAAACTTAAATAAATACTGCACACATTGTGGTGCCTTTAGTTTCTTCACTCTGTATGGAAGAGAGATGAAACAAATTATTTTTTTGAAACAAAATAGTTTTTTTATTATTCCACCTATCCTTTGATTTAAAGTATGTTTCTCTCTCACCTCTGACACTGAGGACGGTGGAGCATTCAGCCCGTCCGAGTGCGTTCTCTGCAATGATGGTATACTCTCCCATGTCTCTGGGGCCCACGTGGAGAATTAACATGGAACAAACTCCACAGGTGTCAGAGATATAATAGTTGGTATCAGTGTTTAAGCTGATGTTATTTCGATACCAAGTGACACGAGGTTTGGGATTTCCCTTCACGGCACAGCTCATATAGCATTCATAGCCCTTGGGTGCAGTGTGAAGCTTCAAAGGTACAATGAAGGTTGGAGCACATCGCAAATCGCAGTCCTTTCTGTTCGGTACGCTCACCACAAACTTTTCTAGAAGAAGAGAGATCAAGTACGATTATATTTTTCCTTAAGATGTGACTATTTGGCCTTTGAGGTTGTTTGAGATGAACACACACTCATACCTTTCTTCTTCTCCATTCCCCAGGTTGGTGACTCAGAGGGTGCAGATATGCCCATGTCATTTTTGGCATAGACCCGGAAATTATATTCCCTCCCGTGCATGATATTGCAGACTGTGAACTTGTTATTGAAGAGTCTGTCAGCCACTGTGCTCCATGTGTGTTTAGTCGAGTCCAGTTTTGACACTGTGTAGTGAAGGCGGTCATCACGCTTCTCATCAGGAGAAGGCTCCCAGACCACTGTCACTGTGCCGGGCACGTTTTCCTCCAGATCTACCGGTCCGGGAGGCTTTGGATCATCTGTAACCACAACCACATCATGCATTAACACGTCTTTGACATTGATGTAGCAAACAAAAATATACATCTCAGTTTTACCTGTGACCCGGACCTCTGTACTGAATGTCTCCTGTCCTGCAAGATTTTTCACCAAAATGGAGTAGATGCCAGAATCAGAGCGCTCAGAGGAGGGGATCAGCAGCTGGGATGAGCCATCAGAGTTACTGATTGTAACTCGCTTTGTAACTGGCACATTGTCCTTTACCCACATAATATCTGGTTGTGGGGAGGCCTGTAAAAAGAACATAAGTTATATCCCGAGTCTTTCCCTCATTTTTACTTTAGCAAAACCATGGTTTGCCTCAGTATGTTACCAGTAATAAAGCTAAAGTATAAATCTCACCTCAAAGTTCACTGTGATCCTAACAGAGTTTCCTGCCCTCACCACCATGAAACTCTTCATCTTGTGGTTTGTGAACTTTGGCCTCACTAGAATAATGAACAAAAACAACATAAAGTGGACAATATCTAACTTTAGGAGTTATGCATTCTATGTAATTCTATACCAAGGTTTTAAATAGTAAAAAATGAATGGTCAGTGATTCAGGACCTTAAAATATATATAACAGCATACTGATCATGTACAGAAACATTAAGAAAAGATATATATAAAAAAAAAAGAGCTACATGGGATTGTAAACAAACAAAAGATTTTGTAAAGATTAATTATTGCATAGCTGCATATTGTTTCATACATTTCGAACAAGAGTTGACATACCAGGTGAGGGCATTGCAAGGACATAGTTGGGCAGCTCCTCTGGAGCACCCTCTCCTCCATCATTAGTTGCAATCACTCTCACCCAGTACATGTCCATGGACTTAAGGCCTTTCACAGCGAAGGAAGTCGTGATGATAGGGATGGGATTACAGCGGGACCATTCGAGGCACTCTGCCTGACGGATCTCAACAAAATATCCTTTTGCTTCATCCTGTATCTCTGGTTTCTCCTCAGGTTTTGTCCAAGTCAGGACCAAGTGGTTATAAGAAGTTTCTGTCACCTTCAGGCTTGTAACTTTACCAGGAGGCTCTGAGGTACACAAAATTAAAAGTCATGCAATACAAAATGTCAAATATTTAGATTTAAACAGTCTATATACAAATATATAGCTACATTTTAACATTTCATTAATAATAATCTAATATTTCTATACATGAATATATTTTCTGCAATCTATTGTTTATTGTTGAGTGTAGCATAGAAATCAATTGCAACCCTTACTTTTGGGATCCCGTGCAAAAACAAACTCTGATGGGTTACTGTATTCACCAGCTCCTGAAAGGTTTATGGCAGTAACTCTGAATTCATACTCCAAACCTGCCACAACATCTTTCACTGCGTATTTTTTCTCTGGAAGTAATGTCAAAGAAACAACATCAACAAAACATCAATGTTATAATCTTCATTGCCATCAGATTGAACTAGAGTCAAATTAAAATGAAGACCTTTTATTAGTTCATCTAAGGCATTGACAACGGTCCAGAGATTACTCCCTTTCTTGCGTTTCTCCAAAATATAACCCAGGATGCGCGAACCTCCACGGTTACTTGGTGAAGTCCAGGAAATATTGATGCAATCGTCATAGGCACTGACCACCTTTGGAGTGGCTGGAGGCCCAGGAAAAGCTGGAAACATGTAGAAACAAAATAGACTGTACTGGTTAAGGTTGTAGTCAGAGAGACTAGTATTGATGAATAAGATTCTACAGTTTATGTGAGGATTTACACTCAAAAGGTAGTCTAATGGATCATAGAGCACAGCAGGGGGCAGTATGGCACTGAGTCAGCTGTCTGTCAAATCTTCACAGAACACATTTTGACATGTCACAGTATGAAAATCACATGCGTAAATAACAAAATTAATGATTGCTGAACTCCATTTAGGGTCCTGGTGACTCACTGACATGGCTTATTATTGTGACAGTTGAATAGAATAAAGCCATTGTCATTAGTAACACCATGTTCTTTTCAATGAGAAGGCAAGTGTCTGCTATGAAAAAGGCTTATAATGGGATAAAATGTCTTATGCCGATTATGATTATACAACATATGTGACTCTTGAGGCCAAACTTCACAGCTTCAGCGAATGAATCTATCTTTTCCATTCAGATATATACTGACCAGTTTATTGGCATAAGCCACACCTGCATTTTGTGCTCCAAAGTGGAAGCACACCCATCTAACCAAAGCCGCTCTGTGCTGGTCGGGTTTTGGAGCCACCGATAATCACAACTTCGAAATGAGTTTAAAAAAAATTTTTTTTTTTCTTTTTAATTTTCGTTACAGGTCGACATAATGGTGGGAATTTTTGGGTTTCTTTTATACGGTCCACACTTGCTCTGTATGACAAGTGCAATGAGATAACTTATGTTGTGAATTAACACTAAATAAATAACTAATGAAGTGAAAATAACCCGAGGTATCTGGAAAATGCCTTGAAAACAGTGGTGAGTGTTGTTATGCGGTCTGTGGGGTTTTGGTGCAACAAAAGTTGATGCTTAGCAAGCTAACGTTATGTGGTTAGCATAAATAATTCACTGCTAATGCTAAAGTCTCTGATATATAAAGTCACAAACTGGTTAGTTTCCAGTTCTCTCTTTGTTTATCTCTAGTTTGTTAGCATGGTTTTATGTTGTGGTAACTTAAAATCTACAAAAACAAAGAACTTATGTAACTGCAATTTAAGCTAGCCGATTTAACGTTAGCTAGCCATTTTTTTGATATTAGCCTGTTGATATTTGGTTAACAGAACATGTAATTTAACTTATGCGTCTAAGGATAACGTTAACCATGAATCTATGATGCTGTACAGATTGTAATGCCTCTTCAAGCAAATTTTTGATTTGTGAAATTGGGCAAAATAACTCAAATTAACTTGACTATGCTAGAATATTAGTCCATATATACACACACACACTAACATTAATACACTTGCTAAGAAATTAAGGACATTGGGTTGAGAAGGACAGTTTAGGAAACTTTGATAACTTGCTATCATTTGCAGTTATGCTAGCCACATAATTACATTGCTTACCACATACAGTAAGTGACTCTGCAAAAACATATATTAAGTTAACATAAATTCCACAGACTTCATCAATTGGTGTGAATCCTTTGCAGTGTTCATAATTGATGCCTTTGGTTCTCTTGTAGTTAGCTACCTAATCCAATAGTTTGATAAACTTAATGTTACTGTTTTCCAACAGCAGCAGCTTGTGGAGAATAACTGGATTGTGACATTGGAGAGGACCTTTCTGCTGAGTTTTATAGGCTGGGAGATTGATGTCCTAATTGGAGAACTTACACTACACACTGACTCCATGAAAGAAGACTGGCAGATGGAGTTTTTTTTCAAGCAGACATCAATCAGTAAGTGCAAGTAATTATTTTTTCGCATTATGCTTGTATTATGTTGTTTTGTTTGTGCTGTGTGGGCCACTGTACAGGGCCTGTGTTTATGACCTTGTACCTTTTTTGCTGGTTTGTTATTAGTTGACTAGTTACTATTACGAGACTTAAATATTTGAGACTTGACTTATTTTGAGATTGGAAAAGGAAAATAAGATGTCAGTCTTCAAGTTGCATATCAGTTGGCCTGAGGTTCTGATTTGCGATCTTTTCTAACCGGTGCAAAGGATAGTGGTATTGTCTTTCATTATTTAGCCCTAAGGCTGCCGTCTTTGCTGTGTTTTTGGACATTAAAAATGACTGTAGTGTAAATGCTTATTGTTTTGCTGTGTGACTTGTCATTGGTTTCATCATCATCAGTTTGGTATTGTGGGTGAATTTTAGATTTATTGGTAGTTTAAAAAGATATTCATAATGGTTTCTTTATTATCATGTTATGAGAAACGGTATGAATTAAACAAAGTGTACATCTTGATGGCTCAGTGGTTGGGTCCATGCCCTCAAAACAAGATTGCCCCAGCTTTTAACCTGCCAGCTGGCCTTTATGTGTGGAGAAACAAGTTCTTCCCTTGTTGGGACGGGCACTCAAGCCAAAGACAAGCAAATTAGGTGAGTTGGAAACAGGTGTGAATGCAGGACCTGTGACCTGTCCAGGCTGTAGAATACCTCTGGAGTCGACCCCTCAAACTCTTGACTTGATAAGCGGGTATAGGTAATGGCTGGACAACACATAGTGCCAACCGAAAAATAGGCATGGGGGGACTTCTTTCTTTTGACAATAAAAGTGTTGAGTTATTTTGAAATGACATTTAACAAAAAATTAAAGTTCAATAGATGCAGTTTATCCTCTATTATGTTGCTGTCTTTAGGATTATGAAAACTGATGAAAACTGATCTTACTGATATCACACGAGTACCATTTCGGCTCACCTAGTGTGCCGGCTTGTATTTCATCAGTCTTCATCTCTTCACTTGTACCCTCCGCAGTCACTGCCCGGATACGGTAACAATATTTCCGGCCGTGCTCTACGCCTGTATCGCGGTAGATGGGGACACCTGGAATGTCCCCCATTTTCTTCCAGGTGTTTCGGCCCACCTGCTGTCTCTCCATTATGTAGTTAATCACTGGTGAGCCACCGTCATCCTTTGGAGGCCTCCACCTGAATTCAATACATGTAGCTGAGCTCTCTGTTACCTCTGCAGGGCCCAGGGGAGAAGTGGGTTTGTCTGAAACGTCAAAAAAGTATTATTTAAAGTTTGAAAATTCATAGCCTCTTATGTGAGAGAGCGAATACTGCATTTTATACAAGGGAAACAGCATTTCCATTGAGAGATAACCACAGTAAAATTTGACAATTGACAGTGATGCTGGCAGCGATGGCAGATGTAGCAGAGGTTTGAACGTAATAAGTTTTGTCAAGAAGCTCTGAAATGTATATCCAAAACACATCTTTAACTTGTCACATTTTCACAAACTGGGATTCAGCTTCACGTAAAACCAAAAACAATTTAGATTTTTTTTTTCAGTCAGTATTATAGTTTGAGAGCTGCATTTGGAAAATAAGCACCTAAATCTGTCTAGGCACACTTAGTGAAATGTTGCACCCTTTTCACATGGTAGAGATTTTTACCATGTGGATGAACTATGGAGCACTTATGGACACTGTTTGCTGTTAAGATCTTAAAAGAGCAAAGTAGTTTTTACTGCACATCTTGCTGCACAAATCACATCCTTTGGCAGCTAAAAATATTTGAATTTTCTTAGAGGAGTTGGATGTTAATCATTTTCTTTTGAATTGATCTGACATTTTTATTGTTGTATTATATGTAGAGCATAAGAAAGAATTTTGTGGGTGATAAGAGATGTTCCTGTGTTGAATTTCTGCAATGTCTATCATTCACTCACCAAGCACAATAAGCTGTGAAATGGCCTCAATGAAGCCGTGTTCATTCTTGAGCTTGATCTTGATCTCTCCCGTGTCCTTCCTCTGGCACCTCCTCAGGAGCAAGCAGCTGTGACTTGGAGATTTCTCAATCTTTGTATTGTTGTCATCTTGGAGCTCCTCTCCATCTTTGTACCACTGAATCTTTATGGGTTCATGGCCAACAAAATGCACTTTGAAGATGGATTTGTGCCCCACTTTAACTGTCAGAGGCTCGGTGAACGCACGGAGGTTTTCAGGGTCAAACCTTGGGGGATCTAAAAAGGAGGGCAGTTAGGGTCTATATGGTGTTTTGCTGTGATGTGATTGTTACATGTGGCTGTAAATATAATATTTCTTTTCAATTACCAGTTATCCTGCATCAAAAATTATCGCTATCATTACAAACTCTCAAACCTTTGACGTTGATCATTGCCTCGGTTTTACGGCCATCTGCCTCAAAACGGTATTTCCCAGCGTGCTCTTCTTTGCACCCGATTATAACCAATTTATGGATTGCACCATCTTTAGTGATAGAGAAATTGGCATCTGGTGATATCTGATAGGAAAAGGGTCAAAGAGATGAAAATAAACACATTGAGCAGCAACATTTGTGAGTTAATTAGTTGTTCAAAGCAACACTGCGTGGCCCAAAGGGTTTCATGTCCAGCTGTATTGTGTTCCCAAAGTTTCAAAACAGCTGCCAAATGTTTGAGGTACATCGCAGATGAACACATAATGTACATAAGCTGTGGTAATTTCAGTGGATAGCAGATGCCAAATCTGAAATCTGTTGGGGTATTTGCCTTTTTATTACTGAATCCACAGTAGCTAGATGGACTGGGACATTGTAGATTAAATAATTTTTTCCCTTATTCAGGTTAGCTGAGGCTAAACCGGAAGTTAGCCAGCTCGGCCAGTGTAAGTCTCTTGTGTGCTTGCTCTATAGGGAGCCTAACTACGGCACGTTATGGCTGCGCCATGGTTTGTTCCAACCTGAGCCCGGCATCAACGTCCACTGGAAGCGTCTCAGAAGCGTTTCAGCAACGGCGCGTGTAGCTGGTCTCATGTTATTGACTTGTTATTAATTTGTCCTTTTTGTACTTCTACTACCTTCTTCACAGCTCTCTGGCTACATTCAGACTGCAGGCCTTAATGCTCAATTCCCTGATCCAAACTCCAGTGTGAACTGCCTGTGGCCTGAAAATGACCCGCACGCGCAGAAAAATAACACGACGTCACACGCAGCAGCACGCTGTTGCAGGCTACAGAAGTAAACGAGGAGCAACAGAGGTTAGCTCCGGTTAGCTAACGGGAGACTACTGTTTTTCATTGTCCTCTCACGGGTCACATTTCTCCCGAATTATGAAAAGTGTTCACAACTTTCTGTTCGTTTCATTGCGGTTTCTGGCACTGTACAACGCAACTGCCCCATAACTCACTCCGTCCCTCTCTCTCTCCCCACTGTATCCTCTCGGACAAATAGCATGCACGTAACTCAGAAGAGAGCTCACGGTCCGGTGGATTTCAGGTGTAAGAAAGGGAATTTGCAAACAGATGATAGTGAGGTAGAGGAGGAAGAGAGACACATATTTAATAATGTCTTTTGAGGAGGTTTTTTTGCTCACCGCAGCTCTGTCTACTTGTCTCTCTGTCTGACTTGGCCTGTTCTGTCATAAAAAGATCAGATCTGGGTCACATATGGGCAAAAGAATCGGATTTGGGTCACATTGGCCTGCAGTCTGAAGTAGCCTAAGTGACCCAGTGCAGGAGCATTTCAGAATCAGAGAATTTTGTCTGCCTGATTTTGCCTGACATGTTTAGATTTTGGAGATTTGGAAATCAGTGCTTGCTTTTTGTGCTTTTACTATGATTAAGTAGGCTACGTAGTTAAATGGTTTCTGCGCTGTAGCCGGAGTCAGTGGGATTGAGTCCCTCCCCTTATGGTGGACCACCATGGGACCTTATTTCAGAAAAATTTGTACTATAGTCAATGGCAAGAGACAACAAATTTTTTCAAACCTATTTGAACTGTGCCCTGAATTACTCATATGTTTGTCAATTTAAAATATAATTATGCAAGTGAAGAAAGTCAGTTTGTCATATATATATATATATATATATATATATATATATATATATATATATATATATATATATATATTATATATATATATATATATATATATATATATATATATATATATGACTGTGAAAATACATAATTACAAAGACCACAAACCCAAAAGTTATGTATGTAACATGATGATTTTTTTTCTGTCAATGACTGATATTAACGTTACTGAAGCTAAAGCCAAAGGACTTACACAAGAGTCATTGGATTAAACACATCAGTTGAGATATATTTGATCTATGCGTGGGACATAGCTAAGTTATCTAGGTAGTAACAGCCAAGCAATAAACGTTAGCTAGCATTGCAGCGTTACCATGTTGGTGGCGTAGCCTATATTTTGCCAGGCGAGAGATGGTAGTTCATTGAGAGATTTTCACACACAACGTAAAGTTACTTTACTGTTTTATGAACTACTCAATGACGCATCAAAACGGCTCCCTGAAACATCGCAGACGCCAGCCAGATATCTAGCATGCCAAATATCTGGACGAGTCGGCCGACTCAACATCCACATCCAGCCAATGAGAGCAGGCAGCTGGCAGAGCAGGCAGCACTTTTCACCGCAAAACACTTTTTATTCACCTCCAGCTCTCTCTGCAGCACAGATGATCCCTGCTACCTGCATGTGCTAATCCTTTCTTTCACCCAGATTCTTTGTATTTATATTTGCTATCTTTATAATGACAAACAACACCTGTTTTGCGTGTAGGTTCGCGTCATTTCCCGTTTCACTTTTCACGTGTGTTTTCTTGACAAAACGTGGTTTGGAGACCAGCCGTCGGGTGCAGGGGTGGAAAATTTATGTTTTGGCTCACCTGCCAAGGTGGCTGGTAGATGAAAAAATCCACCGGCCAAACATATTTTTACCGGCCAAAATAATAAATTGCCTTTTGTGTCACACGTACATTTGTTTCCGTCCTTTCACGTCCTTTCAATTGAGATAATAAGGTATTATGTCAAATACAAACTCAAAAAAGAGGCTAGAGTGAAATTTGAAGCAAAATTATATTATTGCTATTAAATCTACTTAAATCAACAGTTTTTATACAGCCTTATGGATCATTCTCCTTGATCTCTGGGGACCATTAGAAGATCTGACAGTGTGTCAGCAGACACTGACTGGACCGCCAACTACCCAGTTAAAAGCTAAAAACACTCCTAGTATTACATTTAGCTGACGCTTTTATCCAAAGCGACTTACAATTGCTATACATGTCAGAGGTCGCACGCCTCTGGAGCAACTAGGGGTTAATTGTCTTGCTCAGGGACACAATGGTGGATGTCTCACAGTGGGAATCAAACCCAGGTCTCCCACACCAAAGGCAAGCATCTTATCTATGCGCCATCACCACCGTAATGCACCATCACCACCATTACTTTTGTAATTGGCTTCTAACACTAGCAGCTTTCACTCTGCCTTATTTCATGGGGGTATTGCGGCAATCTGCCATCTCGCTGCAGATTAAGAAAGGTATGGAGCAGATTTTATCCGCCTCTGAGCAGGTGAAGTTGGTGACAAACATGAGACCGAAAGATGGAACGATCTGTTTGTGAAAAGCCACAGCCGACATGCCGCTGTTCCTGTAAAGCCGGGACCGCTATGTGAAAGCACACGTGGTTGCGGGATAAAGGCCTTTTCACATAGGATAAAGCTGCAACCTTTGTTCAGTATGAATAAGCAAATGCGACATAAATGCGGATATTCTTTCCGCACAGATCTCCTTGTGAAAGCGGCTACACTCTCGGCAAGTTGTGTAATTTGAACAGCACGGTGATCGGCCGACGCTTAAAGTTATGTAGTGTGCACGAGCCTTTAGGCTCTCTATAGGCATCGTGGCTGAGGGAGGTGGGGTCAAAGAAAATACTAGTGGCTTGTGGGGCTGCACAGTGCGGAAGCTGTGCGGAAGATATGAGTTATTTTATAACTTTTTTTGCCTGCATGCGCCACTGAGCTGCTTTCGTAGGAATGACCGGAGTCCCGCCTATAACACTGTCTCCAGTTCTCTTTCTACATCTATAGTGGAACTTGAACCACACCACAAAAGGCAATAATGTATATTTTTTTTTTCTTGGACCAAATTAACCAAACTGTAGGTATGAAAGTGACCTTTTATCCTGAGGCGAGTTTAACTCGCTTTCTTGGCAGACACAGTAACCTGGAAAATGATGAGTCTGACCTTTACGACTAACCTTTTTGCCGTCTCTGAACCATGCTCCCTCACAGTCTTCACTGCTGAGCTTACATGCTAACTCAGCAGTCTCATTGATGATAGCGCTGACGTCAGACAAACCACAGATGAACTGAACCCCTGGATCTGACATACACAACAGGGAACAATTACTGACATTTTGACTGGCATCCAAAAGCAAACCTGTTTCACGATAAAGAATAGCTAATGTTTGCACATTTCATGTTGTTGTTTTTTCCAAAATTGTTCATAATTCTTGTTTTTATGTATTCCTTTTTTTTATTTTTTTACTCTTTCAGATTTCCAGTCTCTGCAGTGAGTTTGTTTATTGTTCTCATCTGTTCTGACATATGCAACTATATTTTCAAAAAACATTTTTCTTATTTAATGTGCAGTGTTTGGTTAACAGAAAATTTCTAGACTCTCTTTAGCCATATACACATCTGTCAGGAACACTCAACACTACAGCTATGAAGATGGCAAAACTATTTGGCTTTGCAGTGTAGTTCTGCTCCTAGATAGGCTCCCTGCTGTGTCAAAATTGCAAATCAACATGGAACACAGCAACATCATAAACAACATGCAGGAATAATTGTGAATAAACGGGTATTAACTAGAAAAGATTACCATTATCACTCATAGAGGAACTGATTGCATTGGAGACGATATTTTTTCTTCTCACTAAATGTATAAATGGAATCATGCTTGTGTAATGTTGTGTTACTCCAAACCTGATTTATAGAATTTTCATGATAAAGTTCAATACGCTTTCTCCCAAATTCTTTTTAATTGATTATGGACAACAACAAGGTATGATACTATATGTTAAGGTTAAGTAATGATTTATCTTTTGTGAAGCTTGTTTGTAGTGGCTGCGTTAAAGTTATAAGCTCCTGAGTCATAATTAAATAGAAAAATGTCATGCAAGTTATATAAATACATACGGGCTCTATGGATATAAAATTAAAGTTAATACACTAATATTAATACTACATGTTAAAAATTATACATAATTATACTTCGGTATACTTTGTGACTTACAGTAACATAAGTTGCATGCACATGAGTTTACCAAGAAGTGCAACACAGGAGCCAGAATTCACTGTCACACATTATCTAGTGTTGCATAAAGTAGTGCTGAAAATATTGAATTACTGGATTATTTGAATACTGGTTCAACAGATGTACATGCATCCAGCTTAATCCCCTTTCTGTGATTCAATCATGACAAATTTTAGGTTACTTACCAATTACCGCATCTTCTATCAGTGGGCCTTGTCTTCTACACCTCGACTGTGTGGCAGAGCCATTTGCATCTTCAGTCTCGTCACACTCATTGTGGTCTTTAGAACCTGCACTTTCACCTTTTTTAAAAAAAAAAAAAAGACAATTCAGTCCTGAACTTTACACACAGCAATTGAAATATGTTTCAAAATTATACCATTGTAACAGTCCCAGAAGGTGCACAAGCGATGTTTACAATAATATTTACACAGTATGTGGGGCTAATTAAACTCAAAATAAGTCACTAAGCAAACACATTTTGCATACATACTTGAAAACAGGCAGAAAACCATGCTGATAGAGCCAGAGCAACTATTTATGCTTATACACAACAAGAAGTTTATGTGTGACCTCATCTTCCACTTTTAAAAGAACAAGCTGTGGAACAAAATTAACTGCTTCAGGTAGCAAAAGATCTAAAAAAAGTGATTTTCTGGTCCCATTCTACACCTCCATGCAATAATGCACCACATGTGGACTTACCATTGACTGCTTTCTGTGCCTGTTGGCTTTGCTTTGAACAATTTGAAAACTCAACCTGGCCGGCCGAGTCCTCATTCTCATTACTGTCACGTCCTGGATCTGTGTTAGAGACACAGACTTCAGGTAGTACATGCTCAGCTCAACACAGTGGGTTTTCAATTAAGTCAGAATACATTTTGTTTCCCTACAAATTCTTTCCACCATTCAAAAATAAACTATAAGCAGAGCAACAAGGACTAGAGACATCTCACTGCCTAACCAGACCGAAGACAAGAACACCTTCATGTACAACTTTGCCACCTGTTTTCATATCATCATGCTACTTCACAAGTTCATTATTAAAATAAAATGCAATTTCTTTACCAGTGGGGCAAATTGTACTAACACTTAAAAATAAAAGAAAATAGTGCTGTTAAACTTCAGTACGTTTCCTCCGTGCAGTCAACATGATCACTGTTGTTTCTTACCAGATGTATGTTGTTTCCATTGGACCTTCTTTGTGTGCCTTGGGCATTTTACAGACCCGGTAGAGTCTTTATTTCCATCTGAATCAGTTGCTTCATCTTGACTTGTGGCAAAGGTTTGAAACTGGTTAAACTCTACATCAGCACGTTTGTTGCTGGATTCTACACATATAATCAAAAAAATAAGTGAGCATTTACATAAATGTGGATATTAAGAGCAGTATATTTTTTTTGTACATGTCTTACCAATTTCTGTATGTTCTGTCTGTTGACCATGTTTTCTGTATCTTGAATTATTAGCAGATCCAGTGATGTTATCATTCTCTTCAGAATGTCCTCCATTTGTATCTGTGGTATGTTAATTACAGTAAAATAGTTCAGGTATCAGAGTAATGTGGATCATCTCTGGTCGATTACCACTTCAGTTAATAATATAGTCATGTTTATGGTAATTTCAATTTACATCTGTAATTTAAACTTTATGCGTTACCAATTTAACCTTACCAATCTCTCTATGTTCTGTCTCTTGACCCTGTTTTATGTGTCTTGATGTATTGGCAGATCCAGTGAAGTCTTCATTCTCTTCAGAATGTCTTCCTCCATTTGTATCTGTATTATGTCAATTATAATAAAATTGTTCTGCTTTAACTTCTCAGTGAGACACCCTATCATTATAAAAATAAAACCACTCTCTTCCTTGACGGGGAAAATGCATTGTTAGGCATAAGCATAGATCGACTTTACCTGTTACCTTGTCAAAGTCCGCTTGACCGGATCTGGTGTGTTTCTTGTTCTTGGGGTCATCTGGTACCAATTGCACTTCTTTTGTCACACACCTTGAAACATCTAATGTTATTTCTGTGCTATCTCCTCTTGAGGTTTTGACATTTGTTTTCCCTTTGCTCCCTGTTGGATCAGAGAGGGCACTGGCTTTTGCTGCCTTGTCCTTTACTGCGCCGCTGTTTTTACCTGGTCCAGTGACTCCACCCATTTCACCATCTTTTCCACAAGAGGCTAACGTTTTTTCTTCTTGCAGTTGTCCTTCTTCGTGTTTTGCTTTTACGGCCGCCAAAATCTTCTCCATCTCCTCTCTGACCTTTATTTGCTGCTCTTTGGCCACTTTCTCAAGGTCGATCCGTGCTCCACCGGCCAAGGTAGTTGCTGTCTTCTTACCAGCTGATGCATGGTCACTCTCAGCTTAGAGGAAATTAAAAACAACATACATGACACATAACTGACATTTATTTGTGAATATATAATATGCACTTCAGTGCACATTGACATATTGATTATTTGTGCATTATAGTGTAAGGCAGGGGTCGGCAACCTTTTCTGTGACGAATGTCAATATACAAAGATGAAGACATCCAGTGTGCCGCAACACATTGTTAATGCACATGTCATTTGTTTGCACTGTTAGTTAGTTAGACTATTAATTGAAGTTTGACCTTGTTAATAATAGACGTATATAATAAATACGTCTGTAAAGTGATTAAAAAACTTAATCTAATTAATTACAAGTTTTGTAACTTGTTTGTACTTTTGTAATTAATTAATCAAATGAATGGAAATTAATCACATATCGATATTTGCCGTCATAAGCATTTAAAATATTTTAATTCAAATAGATTTTGTTAGATGAGTGCAATGATAATAAACAAATTTATTTAGCTAAACATCTTTATTTCCTTCCTGAATCCACCTATGCAGCACATCTTACAGTCAGAATGATGTGCCCATTAATTAGCAGTGAAAGTAACGCAAAATTAGCGTAAAGCATTACAATTCAGAGACAGTATTATTGTAATATAACTAATTACACTCAAATGACAGTAACTAGTAGCCTATTCTATAATGTATCACATTTTGGAAGTAACTTGCCCAACACTGCTGTTAAGTACCATCTTGTCATGTGTACAGTTGGTCAGAAGGCTAAAGTAGTTAGAAATGCCTCTTGTGCCAAAATCTTTTCTTCTAAATTCACATTTTTTGCCATATTTACTGTCTCTGTTGCACTTGTCACACAAACCTTATGGACTTTTTTAAGCTATATTTTTTCTATATTTCTATTATTTTGACAACCCTATTAATAATGTCAACATTAATTCATCATGGTGGTCTCTGTATGCCCACGCTGGCACGTGTGCCATAGGGTGCCGACCCCTGGTGAAAGGTGTTACCTTCTACAACCAGCCAGGCACTGCAGGATGTAACGCCAGCCCCAGCAGTATAGATTCCTTTGTCCGACTGCTTGCAGTCATTAATCAGCAGCCTGTGGATCAGTTTGTGGTCTGACACGGTGATGCTGTATTTCTCTCCATTCTCTAGGACGTTGCCCTTGCCCATCCACGTGATCCTGGGTAGTGGGTGTGTCAGGACACACTCAAAGAGTGCATCCTCTCTTTCTTGAGCTTTAACCTCCTGAATTTTGATAACAAAGTCCACATTGGAATCTGCAAAAGCAACACAAAGATGTCAACCTAGCTATTACACAAGACCCACACAGTGTGTGTGTGTGTGTGTGTGTGTGTGTGTGTATGCGTGAGGTGAACCAGAAGAATCTACACTTATTCATAAATATTAAAACCAACCATGGTCACCTTTCTCATAAGTCATTTACCTAAAACACACAATGTCATCATTAGAAATTAAGTGAGAAAAGGAACTGCTGTACAGTACTTCTTTACTATTTTTTTTCTATACTACTTTCTTTTGAGACAGCAGGAGCTTGTATGTTTAAACTATCCTTAAAACAGCAATTCCACCATTATCACATGGACCTTGAAGGAACTGTTAAAATTAGTAGTCTCAGAGATTGGATGCACTCAATGGATACACATGGAAGTTCAATTCCAACCACTGTTAATCTCTTGAACCTACGTTTAAACTCTGTAAGGAGGAAGTTGACCTCTTCGTCCACCTGATTCAGCCCCGTCTTGAGGAGATTGCCCTCTTGATCAAACTGGCTGAACCCTGTGTCCTTTTGCATCATGCCCTTGATACTAAAATCCTTGGTTCTCCCAGCGCTCTTAAGGCTGTGTTTCTCTGTTGCATCTTCATCAGAGGGAATCACACCATCCTACCAAGTACACAGAGGAGTTTATGGCCAAAAATGTTATCACGATAAAAAATGTAAATCATTTTTTCAAGTATAAAGGCTAAAGTTAAAGTTGAAGAAACCAGATGGTTAATTGTGGTTTTAAACTTTTCTTTATGGTCAGAACATGACAAACACTGGATCACTTAACATATCTGAGGTAGAACATTCAAAACAATTATGATAAAATATTTTTTTCAACAAATACGCATGAGTAAAATTAAGTAATCTTTTTTTCAGTCGCTTTTCCTCAACAAAATGAATATATTTTAATATCTTCACATTGCATTGTGGCATAGTAGAGCTTTGACTAAATATTTCAGATGCAGTTACTCTGTTGATTTTAACTGTAACTGCATTCGAACTATTAAGTTATCACAACACTATCATATGCCAGGTTTGGTGAATATTCAGAATGAACATGACTTTAACCAGTGCCACTGTCATTAGTGAAATGACAGATCCACTATAGCTTGTTAAGAACTATACTGATGATTTAGCTGGACATGGCGCATCTACTTTGAGAGCTGACAGTTTTCATACCTTCCACTTATTTTGCGCTCTCTCCTTCTTCTTCTCTTCCAGTTTCTTGAGAATCAAATGTAAGTCAGCAACACCAAACTCACTACAGATGCGCTCGTAGTCTTTCCTGTCAGCGTTCAGCATCGCGTCCCAGAATTTTTCATCAGTTTCCACATCTGCTTTACTAAAGGTAAGAAGTATTAATAAATATCCATTATAAACACACAGATACCTGGTTAGATATTTTAAGATCTTACTATCATAATGTCTGTTTTTTTTTTTTTTTACCTTTTCCGCAGCAATTTTCTGAAATCTGATGGACTTGTCAAAGCTGAAAGTAGCAGATTCAGTTTGTTAATGTCTTACAGTTATTCTGTAAATTTGTAGTCAGATAAAACTATGGGGGAACAAGGCACATTGCTTTGAGTTGCTTGTGATGAAGTTTTTTCCCCCCAGTAATTACAAAGAACTTGCAGTTAAATGAGAAGGAATAAAATGGAAAAAAATGCGACAGACTTTACAACTTCATTCACATGCACAGTCAAAACAAATCCATATTCATGTTTTGTATTATAGTAAGGGAGCTCTTACCCTCAGTCACAGTTAATATTGCTGTGCAGACAGCTTTGCCATATTCGTTCACAGCACAGCATTTATATGTATCTGTTTCTGCAGCAGACACTTTGTGAATCTAGAAGTACAAATATGCCACATGGCAAATTATCAGATGCGGAGCTTGAACAGAGAGCACTTATTTTAATAGGGTACTGTGTTTTAATGTGCTGTTAAAAACTCAGGATGAGCAGCACCTACTTAAATACTGTGTGTTAAATCAGTCATTCACCTCTAATATATGCTCCCCAGTCGATTCATCATATTTACTCTGAAATTTGTCCTTGTCTGAAATAGTCCCTTTAGATCTTCTCCATGACACCTCTGGTTTTGGATCCCCCGTCACCACAGCCTTGAAAACAGCTAATTTCCCTAAAGAATATATGGAAATATTGCATCTTATTTTAATATCTACTGTATGACTTTCAATAGCACAGTGAAACCCAACCAAACAACTTTCCTTTGTTTCTTTAATCAATCACTTATTGTCATACATCTCTTTGAAATGACTATACAAATGCATAAATATGTCCTTTGTTATAATGAAACCCACCTTCTTTAATAGTTGTTGGGATTGGCTTACACTGGAAATCTGGGGTGCTTTTCCCTTCTGGCATGTTCACTACATACTGCGTGATTATTACTCCAGGTGTCTTAGATCTTCTCCGGATGGCAGCTAAACAAAACCAGCAAAAATAATAATAAAATGAAACATATCAGTTATTTATGAGCATAGTAAAGTACTTTACAACCTAAAATTAAAAACAAAACAAAAATCAATTTTAGCACTGTAGGATTTTAAATAAATATTCAGACCATGCTGCTTTTGGTAAAACTTAACAGATTTGTTTTCTGCTACCAGCAGATGTCAGGAATGTCAAAAGTATTCCTTGTGATGCTTTGTTTGTGTGTGTGTGTGTGTGTTGACAGAAACATTAGCTTTCTGATGACTAAACAAATCGGAAATGTTGCACACAAATCTCAGATAAGCTGAAAACAGATGGTAAAGTAGCTCTGTACATAAAAGGCTAAAAATATTCCTGTTATTAGTTAACTTAGCACTTGCTGTTGTTGCTGAGTATATGTGTATGCTATTGTTCCTTAGTTATGCCAGTTTGGACAATTATGATGTTGGAGATTTTCATGATAGAACAACAGCACCTCTATACTCTTAAAGGTTAAAAAAGCCAAGGCAAAAACATACCTTGCTCATTGTGAGGCATAATTTCACTTTTGTGCATCTTAATGTTGTTTGCTTTGGATTTTTGTCAATTTATTAGCTTTATCTCTTAACTGTGAGTATAATTCTCATATGGGCTAAAATAAAGGTTGCGAAGCAGAAATTGCTCTGTACATCATATATATATATATATATATATATATATATATATATATATATATATATATATATATATATATTATATATATATATATATATATATATATATATATAGTTGTATAGCAGAAGTGGTATAATACAACGTTGCATTCTTCATCCTTTACAGATATTTGTGTGCCCCTCTTTAATTGTGCAATCTTTTTTATCTACAGAGGTGAAGTAAGAGGAATTTGAGTGTGCATTATATATAAATGGATCATGATGTACACTCTGATACTAAACAGTAGCTGCAAAATTATTTTCATTATCAATTAATTGTATGGATAATGGCTGTCTCAGTTTCGCAGAGCTCAAGGTGACGTCACAAAGATTTTCCATGTACAATGACATATATTCGCAACTTTATGTAAAAAACTTAAAACAGTTGATCATAGTTGGCAGATTATCTTTCAGTCGGTCAACAAATTGATTGATCTGCCAATTGTTTCAGCTCTAGTAGACATATTTAGCTCTTCTAAACATGCCACAAAGTTAAATGAATATTCATTCATTCACCCAAGCATTTCAAACCGCAGTGCATGAAATCCACGTGGTGATCCTCAGCTTACCTGTTTTGCTGCTGTTTTTCTTATCAGGCTTTGAATGTACAAAAAGAGGATCACACGGGAGCCGATGAAGAACAACATTAATCTAGGGATTAATGATTGTTACGACAAGGACTGAAATAGGAGTACAGCCACCCTGTCAAACGTGCAACTGAGGGCGACTGATTTGACTAGTTAGTAAATAGATGTTTCAGGTTATCAAAACAACGGTAGGTCACAAGCAGACACAGTATTCATTATCTAATGTATTATTCAGTATTTATTCCATTATTCATAATAATGGAGCTAGCTGAGCATTGCATTCAAATAGTACAGTAGTGCATGGAGACCACAAAATTTTTTCTGTTTCTCTATCAGAAAATAAAACAACTCTTTTATTTCACCTGACTTGTTGCCAGACACTCCATTAAAACGTTGAATGTATTGATGAACGATGGAGAAATCTGGATGAAAAGAAATGACACTAGATCAGTTAGAAGTACAAGAGTAAATGCTATGTTATGGCTTTAGGAGATTAAATCCAGTTTACAATACAGGTCCAGCAAAAGCAAACATTTCCTTATATTTGCGGAAATGGTGAGGATTTTCCAAGCCAGCATTTATTTGCCTTTATTTTTTGGTATATGAGATGGATAGATAGAAAGGTAGAAAGAGGGAGAGAGAGAGAGACAGAAGTAATTGAGAGGGAGACCAAAATAAACAGTGGGTGGAGAGGCTGGAAGTGAAGACCCAGTCGGATATAATGTGGAAAAGGAAAGCTCATAGGAGCCTGAATAAACTGAAGCACTGAGAGGGTCACAGTAAAGGGCAGCAGGCAGTCGACCTTAATCCAAGCATGTTTTCTTTTTATTCTCAGTTTATCACTGAAGCCTGAGAGACCTTTAGTCAACTCGATGTTGAAGTCAGTTGTGCACACCAACTCGCATAGTTCTCATTAATTTTATAAGTTAATGGAGATGCTGTATATCATGTAGTAGGAGTAAATGTTTTCACATTTCATTGCCTTACAGATGAAGTATGAAATGTTATACGGGTAAGGGTTAGGGTTAACGGTGGAAGCAGTGGAACCAAGGGTTTAAATGGTGAAATAAGACATAACCTACTAGAAATAAAAATATACCTCCCTCCCCTCCCTGCCACAGTCCCACTCTCATTCTGTGGGAAACACTGGCTTCAAATAGACCCCATGGTTAGTATTCATCTAGAGTCGTGCTTGTGTCCACCTGATGAATGTAAATCCAGTATTCACTCTCTCTCCTTGTTTGTGGAAATATCAGGCTTTTTAGTTGCTAAATGGTCCACTATGTTCACCAACTAGTCGCCAGCTGTGCCTGTGTACTGCTTGGTGCTGAGCAGGTAGTGTATAGTGTATTATTTAGACCTGTTTTTGGTGAAAACTGGTTGAGATTGAACGAAAACAGTGAAGTTATGAGCTGAATCTTGCTATAAAGCTGAGGGGAGCTGCAGATTCATGTTGATAATTCTCTGTAAGGCAAGGCAAGTTTATTTGTATAGCACATTTCAACAACACATTAATTCAAAGTGCTTTACATAAAACAAAAAAGCAACAGGGAAATATAAAGTTTAAAAGCAACAGAAAATATAATGAAAGTTACAGTGTTACAATTAGGGTTAAAAGAGTTAAATGGAAAATAAAAACAGGCTGAGGGGTTGAGCAAATAATTGAGTTACAATCATTTTGAAAAGAGAATAAACGGAGAAGAACACTTAATCTACTCTCTCTAGCTAGTCTGTACTTGGGTCCACAGCAATCTTTGGGTCCACTGAAACTCCAAAAACCCTCGGACACTACAGACAAACCAGGACATGTCTGTCAGCAGGCCACTTTGATCCAGTTATACTCTAGACCCACCTGCGTGTTTACAGGTGGACAGAGGTTCCTGCAAATCACTCTGGCGCGAGATTTAAGACCACTTCCTTCACTCTGTTCAATCTCACTCCCATAACCATCCAACTCAATTACCAACTCATTTCTCACTGTGTAAATATTTAAATAAAAGCAATGGTAAAAAGCTAAAAACAAAGAAAAAGAAAACAGGACAGTAAAAGTTACAGTGCAAGTTATCAATAAAAATAAAAATCTTAAATATTTAATTAATAGCAATGGTAAAAAGAAAAGTCTTCAGTCTTATTTTAAAAGAACTGACTGTTTCAGCAGACCTGCAGTTATCTGGGAGTTTGTTCCAAATATACGGAGCATAATAACTGAACACTGCTTCTCCTTGTTTAGTTTTGACTATGGGGACAGAAAGCAGACCTGCCCCAGACGACCTGAGAGGTCTGGATGGTTCATAACGAAACAAAAGATCAGAAATGTATTTTGGCCCTAAACCATTTAGTGCTTTGTAAACTAACAGCAGGATTTTGAAATCAATTCTTTGACATACAGGAAGCCAATGTAAAGACCTCAGAACTGGAGTGATGTGATCCACCTTTTTGGTCTTAGTGAGGACTCGAGTCTACACCAAGATTTCTGGCTTGATTTTGTGGTTCTTAACATTACTGATTGAAGTCGAGCACTGACTTTCAATCGTTCCTCCCTGTCTCCAAAAACAATAACTTCAGTTTTATCCTTGTTTAATTGAAGAAAATTCTGGCACATCCAATCGTTGACCTGCTCAATACAGTTACTCAGCGCCTGTATGGGATCATAGTCCCCTGGTGAAATGATTATGTAAATCTGTGTGTCATCTGCATAATTATGGTATCATATTTTGTTGTTTTTCATAATCTGAGCCAGTGGAAGCGTGTAAATGTTAAAAAAAAGAGGTCCCAGAATAGACCCTTGGGGAACTCCACATGTCATTTTTGTCAGCTCAGATGTGTAATTACCTATAGACACAAAGTAGTCCCTGTCCTTTAAGTAGGATTCAAACCAGTTTAGTACTGTGCCAGAAAGTCCAACCCAGTTTTCAAGTCTGTCTAGTAATATGTTGTGGTCGACTGTGTCGAATGCAGCACTGAGATCCAATAATACTAAGACTGAAATTCTGCCATTGTCAGTGTTTAAGTGGATGTCATTGAAGACCATAACAAGAGCCGTCTCAGTGATGTGGTGTGGTCGAAAACCTGAGTGGAAGACATCAACACAGTTTAGTGCCAAGAAAGCACTAAGCTGTTGAAAAACAGCCTTTTCAATGATTTTACTTAAAAATGGGAGATTTGAAATGGGCCTATAATTGCTCATTAGTGAACTGTCTAGATTGCTCTTTTTTAAGAGTGGCTTAATGACTGCAGTTTTCAGGGCCTGTGGGGAAAAACCCTGAGAGGAGAGACATGTTGACAATTTGTAGTGTACACATTTTTGAAAAAACCTGCAAAATTTCAAGGCAGCATGAGGAGGATTTCAGATGTTGTATTATGTCCTCCAGGTTTTTATGGTTAATAGAATCATTGCTGTAGGTTCATCACTACGAGCAACCCCTTTCACATTAAAAAATATCAATTATAAGCCAGCAGTCAGCCATTCATTGTATTAACAATAAATGTAAAAGGACCAGTCTTTCATTTCCCGTTTTAAAGAAGGTAATATTTCTCCTGTATTTTATGAAGCAATATTGAAGCATGAACTTTACTCAATCTGCTGACACAACGAAACAAAGTTTTTTTTTAAAGCCACTATCTTGACGTACCAGTGTGTCAATGTATACAACATTGAGTGCTTTTCTACCATCTAAATTGTTTGATGACTCCACCCATATCTTATGTTTTGGCAGGATTAGCAGGAGCTCCTTTTCCGCCACTTTTAGTGTTGAATTAACTTCCACACAGTTTACCGGATATGACACAGTAATTAACTTGGTTTGCTCATGCCATTCATTACAAATTGTCATAATCCTGGTCTGTGTCCATCTATGCTTGTGGTTATTTTGGTCGGTGTCGGCAAGTTTTGTACATTGTCTGCCCTTTTCTGTGTAAGGTTGAGAATTCTCCGTGTCTGCTTGTCATGTCTGGCTTTGCTTCCTGTTTTGTCTTCCCTGTCTTGATTACCTGATGTCTCGCCTGTATATTCCCTCCCTGCTTGTTAGCCCTGTATATATTGCCTGCTGTTCTGTCCTGTCTTTGGGGGATTACTGCTGTGTCATGTGTTACATCATTTTTGTGTGTGTTTCTGTGTCCTGCTTGTCTGCCTGCAGCTCTGCCAGTTATTTCTCAGCCTGTGTGTGTTTGGACTGGTATTCATCACTTTCTGCATCCTGTTTTGCGTGCCTGATTTGAGTTGGATTAATACATTTAGTTTCTGAACTTCCACAGTGAGTTGTGCGCTTTTTGTTAAATAAATTGTTCAACTCATCCTACCAGTTCTGGTGTCTTGCATCTGGGTCAATCTGCCTGAGCACATACCAAATTGTGACACAGATAATCACCGCCAAACAATGTTGTCAATGTCTTTTTCTTGTTCATAATATTTACTTGTTGTTATGAATTTATTATTATTTATAATTGTACAAAAATATACAGCAGAACCTACAGTATAGTCTTTATTTGATTTCAGTGAAAGCATATAACTCACTACTGCTTTTTTTTGTATTTAGGATTAAACTAATAAACATGAATCTTGATAACGTGACCTTTGGGCTTGTAGCAAAATATTTACTGTTACAACACTGTATAATCCTTTTCCATAAACTTCGTACCCTCTAGAGCCATTGGAAGAAAATGCGCAAATGTAAAAAAGAAAGAAGGAAGCTTTCTTATTGAATTATTCTTAACATTCAGAAAATCCAATGCAGAAATTTATTGCAAAGAAATAAGGCAGCACTCTGCATTATCTCTCTAATATCATAATCTCTGAAAAATATTTACTGGTCATTTTCAAAGTGTCCTCTGTTGCTGTTTGCTTCAATCTGCTGTTTGCAATAAATGGGGCCTCTTATTATTGCTTAAATCAGTTAAATGGAACATGAAAAAAAGAAGAAAAGAGAAATTTGAAGTAGGAATTGCAGTACTGTACTTCGTCTGTTGGCAGTGGGACCTGAGTTCTTCGTCCTTTTCCACATTTTGGCAAGAGTTAATAGTAGGTTGACCTGCAAATAGAATGTAAACATAACCATTAGTACCAATGATAAGACCAGACATCAGTGTTTCTTTGCATTAAAAAGTATTATCTTTATGTAGCGATGCACAGATTGATCAGCTGGTGACTCGAATCAGCTGGTTTTCAGCTTGATCAGACTTGACCGAATTAACAGTGAATAATCAACAATTTGATGGCGCAGCGGTCCTTGTGGGGGTGGGAGGGGGGGGTTCTGGCAATGACCGGAGGGACAAACCTGACGGGGTAGAGATAATGGGACGGCAGTCACTGATTGTGTGTGCGTGTGTGAGAGAGAGAGTGAAAAAGAGAGAGAGTGCTTTGTTTCTTTATTTACACGTAGGTTATATAATAACAGCACGTTATTATAACCAGAAGGTTGTGTTT